TTCAGAAAGCACCTTAGCAGGTCTCGGATCTTTCCCTGTTTGGGTGACACATACCTTCATTCCTGAAGGTTCTGGACCATTTGTCACTTTGCCTGGATTAGGTTTCTGTAATTTTCCATTAACATTAATGACAGGGCATGGTAGTACAAAAAGGCACCATACTTATATTAACATCTTTCTATGGATATAAGCAGGACAGGACATTCATCAGTTAAACTAGTTGCCCAGGATTTGTATATTGATTACCTAAGGCACTTCAGGTATATTCTTCCTTTCCTCCATTGTAGAGTAGTAGTCCAACTTCCCCTTTGGTAGTCTGGGTCAGTCACTCCTGACAACACTATGACTCCCTTTTTAGCTTGTTTCCTCAGAGGCATGAGGAGACCAAAATGAGTGTGTGTTGGTGAAGGTCTTAGCTTCCAGTTCAGTAACATGATTGTTGTGCTTCCTGGTATAAGTCTTCCCTGCTCTGGAACCAAAACTTCCAGGTCAGCAGAACACGAAGTCATGGGGACAGGAAGCAAAAATTTTGCTAGTTGATCACTCAGGGTAATGGTGAGTGGTACCATTCCTACTTCCACCCCTTGAATCTTGGACCTATGAATCCTGGCTATGGGAGACACAGTGCCACATAATGGACATTGATTTGAAGCATATACAGCACACACTGTATGATGAAAGGCTGAAGATGAAAGGCTGAAGAGTCTATACTGGAAGCTAAGAGACAAGTTCCAACCAAAGGCAAAGACTGGAGCTTCTCCCAAGAATGGAATGCATTCATCCTCCCTCCTTCCCTTTCATACCTCCCGGTGATAAGCCACCCTAGGGTGGGTCTTCTTCTATACCCTTTGGTGTAGAGTTCTTAAACCCATTTAATTAAACTTCTAAATGTCTCAAGTTGACATAATTAACCACTACAATGACTATCTATTATATGTGGATTTTGATGTACTAGGTTAATTAAAATTGTTCTCAGGGGAGTAATTTCTTTGAAATCTGTTTTTCTTTTTTGGCTTTTGAGATAGAATCACACTTTGTCGTTCATCCTGGGCTTGAGTTCACTGTGTAGCCCAGGCTAGGATCAAGCAGGTCAGCTACTCATCCTGGTTCCATCACAGACTGTTCACTAGCTGGACAAACATCTGGTAATCTGGGGACCCTCACCAGTTCAGTGGCTGTGGGTCTGGAAGAGATTTCACTGTTACTATCAGCAATTTCTAAGCTGAAGACATGGCATAGAATGACTGTTAACCATAATGTAGGCATTGTCCCTGTGCGATTCATCCTGGAGTAAAAACTCGTTTTAGTGTCCGTCCTGCTGTTTGCTGGCCATGTGACATGGGAGTTGCACTCTCTCCATCTGCCTAAAGACTGTGTCCCATTCCTCCTGATAAGAAAGCAGGGTTCAGGAGAAAATTAAATGGATTGGATTCCTTACCTCCTGTAGTATTATGGAAGAGTCTCACAGGAAAACTCAGTAAATACCTTCATATTAGTTTTCTATTTTTATAGTAAGATTTTGTATGACCTTATGTTTTGAACATGCAAAAATCATCATGTTACAGTTCTGAAGGTCAGAAGTCCGGCTGAGTGCTCAGTGTGATAGAGCCAGGATGTTGTCAGGATGTGCTCACTCTGAAGAATCTAGGGGGGAATCTGTCCTTTCTACCTTCTAGAGGTGTCCCTGAGCCTTTTCCCCTCATCTTCCTGTCTCCTTGCATTTTATCTCTTCACCCCTCTCCAGGTCACACCTGTGTGTGTGGCCTCCCTGTGCACTGTCCAGATGTCAGCACTGAGAAACCTCAGTTCATAGGAAAGAACAGTGTGATTTTGGGTTACAGAGATTCTGCCTTCCAGTCTTTCAAATTCAGTTAATTATTAAAATTTTCTGTTTTTGAGGAGAGAAAACTTTGTTCCAATATGGAAATAATGTGCTACCGGATTCCATTCATGCATCCAATCTCAATTGGAAATCCGTACCGACTGTTCTTAGAGAGACAGCAAAGAAGGCAGTGAAATTTAAAATTGTGTTTCTATGAAGTGCCCTTTCTTGCCTGCTTGGTGTGCTGGTGTGTAGCTGAAGAACAGATGTGCTGAGTGCTACCAGGTAGAGCACATGTAATGTGGGCATTTCCATGTACAGATGTAGTGGGATGCACCAAGATGAAAGCCTCACCTAAAGTAGAGTTATGCACAGAATTACAACAACAGGAATAACTGATGTACATTCTATAAAATTAAAACACTCATTTTATCTAGAAAACAGATCAAATAGTTTGTGGTGTCCACATTGAAGGAAAGCTCCCTATGAGCATGTGTGACATCTAGAGTATTTATGCAGGGTGCAGGCAGCAGTTAGTCTCAGGTGAGTTTGTGGTGAGTGAACAGAGCGTAACGAGGAATATCAATGGGTGCTGGAACCACCTTAGAGCCAGAATATACTTTTGGACACATAGTTAATCGTGTGGCAAAATCAATAGAAATATATGTTGGAAATGTCACTTTTCATAAATGTAAAATTTATTCCTAACGACCTATCCTTAAAAGAAAAAAAAAAGTTCTGTGATAGTGGCTATGCTGTAACACTGAGTTTTATGGAAGCCCATACAAGGAAACTAATGTATTGAATTACACAGGTCTTTCCTGGAGGAAAATTCCTGTTATTCTCTCTGGCAAACTTTTTCTCATAAAAATGTTGAAGATGTTTTCTCTTGGAGAATTTCGTGGAAATGTTAAGTACTGAGATGGGTAATATTTTCATTTTTAGTTTCATTTACAATTCAAAGAGAATTTGTGTGATCCTTTCTTTCACAGAAGGTAATATTACATACACAGTATTAAATGGAGATGCTGGAGTCTGGCCTTGGGCTCAGATGCACAGTCTACCCAGTGGTCATAGCAGGTGGCCTTGAGAATGTCACTCTAATTGCTGACTCAGCTTTGTTGTGGGTCTCAATGTCCTGATGTTGTCTGAGAGCCAAGTAGAGTAATGTGGGAGCTAAGGTCTTCATTTTCAACCAGAAAATTTCACATCCTGTTTAGGCTGAACTGTGTGTTTCTCTGGCCAGAGGTTTTCTTCCTTGTAGAGGAGGCATGGAGATCACTGCAGATCCGGGTTGAGATCCTCAGCTCTTCATCTTAGCCATTCTTTTAAGTCAATTTATTTTCCCAATGCTATGGCTTTCCATTTGAAGGTAGGAATGATCCATCTCTAGTGTGAAACACAAAATAATGATAATATAAACTCCCCCCCAAACCAAGAAAAATACTGTGGTGTGCTTAAAGTGCTCAGGGATTTGTTTGCCCTGACATAAATGTGTATAAATACAATATGCCTTAGGAGATGCTCCAGGGATGCAGATGGCCATTTAAATTCACAAGAAAGTTTCGAGCTTCTCTGGGTAAACAAGTTCACCATAGGAAGAGGCTCTCCAATGAAATTCCTGAAGATGTTTTTGAACACAATGCAGGGCAACAAAAAAGCAGAAGCAGTGTGACCCAGTCACACAAATAACAGATGAATAATAAACATTAAACCATTGACAAGATTAACAAAACAAATTCACAGATGAACAGACTGACACCAAGAACTAGTTTTACCTTATGACCTACTAGTCTCAGCCAAATTCTTGTTCTGAGAACAAATGAACGTGATTTTAATGTTGTGTCCAACATTTCCAAAGACTCACAAGGGGCACCCCAACAAAAATTGAAACAATCTTACTCGCAAGGATCTGGAGTGCTCCCTCCAAATTAACATCCAGGGGTTTTGGTTTCTCTATGAAAAATAGAGAGACCTCAGAGGCAAGGAAGAACTCTTTGTAGTTCCCCTGAGTAACAATTGCCTCAAAGAGAGACTTGGATCCTATAATCAAGAGACCCCAAATGACGTGGGTTCGTGAACAACAATATAGGAATACAAGTAGCCAAACTGATGAATTTGAAATTTAATTGAGTTCAAGACCACTTGAACCTTTCCCCATTTCAGAGTACAAATAAGTGGCATTGAACTGGAAACTTACAGAGCTTTTAAAATAGAGAACCACAAAAGATATCTTGTTAGAAAAAATTTAGCTACAATTTACATTAATTTTTGGTTGACACCTGCATCCTGCTTCTTTTATTGAGCAGGTTAATTTTTCTCTCGTGGTACAGCTCATTATGCTTCTCTCTTTAGACTTCTACCCTGAGTAATTTGCCATTTTCCTGGGTCAAATACAGGGCACTAGTTAAATGCAGGTGTCTACATGGCATCAGTTATGCCAAGATATAACTATGAAGTGGTTTTCATAAGGGATTGGCTCAGGGTGTAAGGACACTGGGTTTCTTAGTGTTTTTCAGGGTCTGGTGGCTGTGGTTTTCTGTTCCCAGCCTGGACTTCTTTGGTTTCTAAGGTTTTGTGGATGCCTGTCGGGAGACCTGTCCAAAGCTACTGCGAGTCTCCTGGCCCAGTGAAACTTCCTCTGTGATCTTTAGCTTTGTGACGTTGTAGGAAATTGGGCTTGGGGAGAATTCACATGGCTATGTTGGATTTCTTCATCAGTTGAGGTCATCCTGGAGACACCTTCCTTAGGGAGTCCTGGAGGGTTGAGTTGATCCCACAAGGTGCACTGTGCCATCTGGATGAAGTAAACAGTCTCCTCAGGCTTTAACATAAACTTTCATTGCCTGGGGTTTTAAAACTGCAGCTACATTATGTGGAGAAGCAGCCCATTCTGCTCACTGTTGAGCGTCTCTGAGCAAGTGGGCTCAGGAGGCTGCTGTGACTACATTGTGATGCTTGGTAACATCAGATCCCAGTTCTGTTTGGTCAGGTTGCCAAGGAAGTGAGGTGGCATTTTAGGGTTCTGTGCCCCTAGCGGGCTCACCAGTCTAAGCTCCTCCATTGCCCATCTTTCTCTTCCTATTAAATAATCTAGCTACTTACACATTTTGTTGTATCTTATCTTAGTGTACAGGAATAATTTGATCTATATATCATCTGTCTATTACTTTCTTACTTTTGCATTCCTGGAGTTTGTACCGTGTGTCTCCACAATGAATTATAGGTGTATCCTCAGACTGATTTTTTCAGATACACACTGAATATTTCTCTAAGCCACAAGATTGATCAGGTTGGACACTCCCTTGAAATCTTGGCTTAGCTGCCTAGAGTTCTGGAATTACAGCCACACACACCCTCTATTCTTTTTTTCTTTCTTTCTTTCTTTTTTCTTTCTTTTTTTTTTTTTTTTTTTTTGGTCTTTTTCATTTTTATCGGTACCAGGGATCGAACTCATGATCGCCTGCTTGCAAGGCAGGTGCTCACGCTGCTGAGCTAAATGCCCAGCCCCTCACACCCTCTATTCTAATCCAGTGTGCTACTTAGAAACAGCTCAACTAGGATGCCTTTTGGTGATACGAGGCCCTGGTGGTATCTTCACATTTAAGTCAATGTGTGTACATTGACATTTTGTGTGTGGTACGCACAGTGCTGTGGGGTCTTTTCCATTGAAGGAGCATTTTCTCTGAAGATACTGTGCTGGGGATTTACATGTAGACAGTTGTGAAGTTTAGTGTGCTTTTCTTTACTGAGTCTATTTTCATCTCCATTTAACTAGAAAGTAGTGCAACTTTCTAGAAAATTTCACAGTAACTTTCCCTTAGAGATATAAATGTTTGGTTCAGAGTCTTACTTCTGCAGTAGCAGTGGTGGATTCATACCAGTTGGATGCTTTCATGTGCAGAGAGGTGATTAATTATTCATCCTGAGCTAATGAACTTAGTACCAAAGTAGAGTATTCATTTTAGTGACAGAGTGTGTATGTCTGAAAGTAAGACCTAACTGGAAAGAGCTAATGGGAATCAGCCCTTGCTGATCATTGCCTTGGGGATGGCCACTGTTATGAAGATGATGCCTCACTGCTCTCCTGCTTGATTGGTACTCTGCAATGGCAAATAAAGCAGCAATAGGCAGATTTGGACTGTCAACTTTTTTGTTCTTTTTAGGTCTGATTTTCAGGAAAACGTGGAGTCAGGACAGTGTGCGGTGATTGTATGGCAGATATCCTCTGTAATGCCTATAAAACATCACCCCAGTGGTCATAAAGAACACACATGTATGGCATTTAAATCATTTTTCTACTTCTCACAATCAGCCTATGTACTTTGTGTCACCTGTAGGTGTTTACCTTTTCTAGATGCATGTAGTCTGTTCCTTGTTTGAAGAGCAATTCCAATCAGTGAAACTGTGTTAATGATAGGGAATTGACGTAAAGTAGAGTCTCAACCTCCCACATTGTGAGAGAGCAGCCCTGTGCTGAATTCATGAATGGGCAACTTGAAACTCTCGGCTGAATTGAGTCAGCTTGGCTCTTGATATGGAAAGAACACCTGACGATTGTTGCCAACAGCCTCAAAGGAGAACTGGAGAGGAAGATGGTGCTGTTCATTCTCCTTGAGAAACTATTATCGCTGCATTTCCTGATATGAACTTACCTGTCCTCATTGTCAGAGCAGCTCCTGTCCTGTCACTGAGGATGGCTGAGGTTCTTTTCAAGCACCAATCTGCCTATTGCTGCTTTATTTCATAATATGAGTATCCTCAACTTGGCTTCCTGGTTTCAAAGCAGAGGTCTCTCCCTGATGACACTGATCCTTCACTGTGCTGGGAAGGCCTTTCTGGTTTCCACCATTGACCTGTGGTCCATTGAGTGCAGATTCCTGACACAGACTTGCATGAGATATTGTCGTGTCCTCTAAGCTGAACTTATGTGTGGTATTACGTGAGCATAAGCTGAGCATATGTGTGGTCATGGGCTCTAGGTGTTTAGCTGGAGTAGTGTCATGAAGGACAGTGCCATGGGATATAGGCCTTACCTGAGTTCTTTGCATGTCTAGTGTGTGCATGAAACTCCCCCACAGTTTTGCATTGAACTCTTTGGGTGAATATTATAAAATAATCCTCCAAATCCTCATCTAGGCTGAGTTAAATTTCTTCCCTTTCACACCCTGAGTATAAAATCAAATTTTATTGTCTATATAAAGATCTAAAGCCAAATGGGTAGACTGGCCCATGGCTATAATTCCAATTTGAACTTGTGGTCAAATTGGAAAAATTAGCAAGATCATTTTTTTAAAAAAGATTCAAATGCATTGGGGTTGTAGGTCACTGTGAGCAGGCTTCCCCTAGCTTACAAGAGGCTCTGGATTGCATGCCCAGGGCCACCACACAAGGAAAACAAGCTGTAAAGCTACATCTATTACCATGATCACTCATTTGGCAGAAAATTAACCTCACAGTGCAATGAGTATCCTCAGATACTCCAAATAGCAAGTGGATTCATTTCAACAATGCTTTGCTTTTCATCCACTTAGTTGGATCAAAAGAAAACTTTCAAGTCCATTCTAATAAAAGCAAAACCACTCTCAAGTGGTCAGTTTTACAATGATGATGCATTTATAATGACTTAGTGTTTTCTTTCAAAGAAAACTAATTTACAAAATTAAAAGGTAAGACATAGATGTCTTCTGGAGTTTCCTGAGGGTACACGTTATATTAACTGTCACTTGTGTCCAACGATTTGATCACTCAAAATGAAAATTTAGTTGTTTGCACAGTTTCTTTTATAATTCTTTTCTTCAGAATGTTTTTTACAGCTAACAAGTCCACACTCTAGATAGAGCTTGTCAAGTGTGTAGTTTGTACCATTTTCATTCATAGTTGAGTTATCAATTTTTTGGGTCTGTTTTGATATAGGGTGTTGCTATGCAGTTCAGGACGGCCTTGAACTCACTGTTGCTCAGGCTGCCATGGTATTTGCAGTGATCTGCCTGCTTCAGCCTCCCCAGTGCTGTTTTCATGTGGGAGTCACTACACCTGGCTCTATTTTTGAATCTCTAGAATCTCTGACTTTGTGGTCCATGATCCTTAAAGAATCATTGGTAAAGCTATTTAAATTGTGAGTTATTACTATTTTCTTTTACTGGTTTCTTTCTTTTGATTAACTTCTCAATGTTTCTGTAGCTGGTTTGCTCATCATGAATTTCTTAAATGACTCTTTGCCATGGAAATTCTTTATTTCTTCGTAAATTTGGAAATATGTTTTAGTAGGTAATTATTATGTGCATTGATTTATTCTAATTTAATATACTCCTTCAATCTCTCCTGGCCTGATAATCTGTGTTAAGAAATCTGCAGTTATTCTTAGAGGTTTATTTTTAGAAGTTATTTCATATTTCTCTCTAATGGATTTTAGTGTTTTTTCTTTGTTGTGATTTCTTGGATTTTTCCACAATGCAGTGTGGACAGTTTCTTTTCTGGTTGTAGCTACTTGGAGTTTTAAATGCCTCATTATCTGGACATCCATTTCAGTGCCTAGACTTGAAAGTTTTGTGCAGTAATTTGAGGGAATAAGAATTTTAGACCTTACTGTGTTTCTCCAGCCTTTCATTGACCTCTGTGATGCTTAGGTTATATATTTAGAACCATTTGTGTTGGGCAGGGTTGGAGCTCTAATTTTTCCCTTATCAAAGTTGATTAGACTATTTAGAGTCTTTTTATTTTTACAGAAATGTCAGAATCAAAATTTTAATCTATGTGAAAAATGATGTTGACAGTGTGACATGGCATTGTGTTTTATGATCATTTTATTTTCCTCTATTCATTTTTGGTTTCATTCTGAATTTTATTTTTATTAACTGCCAGATAGCTATTGGGGAGGTGTAAAATTTTGAGGCATCTTATTGGCTGGTGTTTCTTTGTTCCTGTGTTTTTCTGCTGAATGTTGTAGGTCAGTTGGGCTAGAAACTTCTGCTAATAGAGATAACGAACATTGAACTGTAAAGAAAGGACAGTTTATGGTAATATCTACCCACAAAGAACATTATAGCATTTAAGACATACTGGCACTGAAACTGGTTTATTTAGAATATGTGTGTTCTCTTGATCCTGCTATGGTAATTCTTATGTATCAAAAAATCTTTCTATTTCTACTCCATTTGTCTCTTACTAGCTGCCAATTGTTGAGGCAGGAACAGAGAACTTTTAGGATTTCTGTGAGATCTGTTGTCATTTCACCATTTTGATTCCCAACTTCATGGATTTGAGTCTTTTCCTTCCTCTTTTTGATAAGGAGTTTTTTTCCATCCTATTTAATCTTTCATAGAAGCAACTATTGCATTCATGGATTTTTGCTTTGATTTCTTAGTTTCCATTTCTTTAATTTCTGTTATGATTTATAATTTCCTCCTTCATATGATCTTCAGCGTTAACATGCTCTTCTCTATCTATAAGCTTGAGGTTCAACAGTAAGTTAATTATTTGAGCTTGTTCTGTTTTCCTGATAAGTATATTCAATGCTAAATATTTCCCTTTTAGGACTACTTTCAGCGTGTCCTGTAATTTCAAGTATGGTTGTACTACTGTTATCTTTTAAGTGTATAAATTGTCCAATTTCTTTGTTAATTTCATCTGTGACACATTGGTTTTTTAGGATGGTGTTATTTAATTTCCATTTGTTTATGGAGCACTTGTGGTTTATCCCTTTTCTCTCAGTCTCTCTCTGTCTCTCTGTCTCTCTGTCTCTGTCTCTGTCTCTCTCTCTCTCTCTCTCTCTTTCTCTCATCCCTTCCTTTCTTTTTATGTATCTGGAATTGCACTCCATACTTTGCACTTGCCAGGCAGGCACTTATGTCTCTGAGCTATATCTGTGTACTAGTTCTTTGGTTTCCTTTGCCATTGATTTCCAATCTCATTGTTATGTGATCTGATAATATGCATGGGATAGTTTCAGTTGAGTTACATATACTTTAGTTTGTTCTATGAGAATATTTTCTATTTAAGAGTATGTCCCAGAAAAAGTGTCAGTGGAGCCCTGTTGTATTTAAGGAACTCATTAGTATTTGTAAAACTATTTCATTTTCTGATAGAGATTTTTTTTATTACTTGGTGTGGTCACCGAGTCAGTTGAGAAGAGAATAATAAGCTCCTGATGTCAGGTACAAGAGAGGAGAGTTGCTGCAAGGTACAGAAAGGCTTGTGTGCTGTAATTGCCTGAGGATGGGGTTAGGCAAGAGGATGGGAAGAACTGGGAATCAAGCTTGATGAACTAAGAAAATGACCTTGAACATCATATTCTGAGGAAATAATGCTACATGTGAGGCATCATATTCTTCACAGCTTCAGTGGTCTGAGGTATTGCAAAGAGATCTACACTTGTTAAACCACATCGCAGAGTGACAGAAACATCCCCACACTCCCACAGCCAGTGTACTTGAGTTTCTGTTAGTTGCCCAGATATCAGTTCCTGCTACTTCTGTTTCTTAGAAACAGCTGGTCACTGTGATGCACAGCTGGTCTTATCAAACATATTACAAAAACCAATCAAAGACAGCCACGGACTCTACCTCTCTACTTCCCGTTTGAAACCCCATAAAAACCTCTCTGCCTGAGTCACAGTGGTAGCTCAGTTCACAAATGCTTTTGATTGTCAATAATTTGGTTTCCAAACAGAAGCATTTGGCAAAATTCTGTTTGTTTACAAACTCTTCATCTGGTGACCAACATGACTGCGGCCATCTATTTTAGACAGATGCAACTGTGGCCATTTTTCCCAGAATCAGGGAACAGATTAAATTTGTCAACTGACGTACCACTGTAGTTAGCCCAAAATATGTCACTAAAAGTGACCATTTAAAAAGATTTCTACACTAGCAACAAAGTCTTTACACTAAAACCATCCATAAATTTAACACAAAATAAAACAAAAAGCCCAAGAGAAACGGGGGACTAAAAGGCAACAGAATGCCTCCAGAATCTCTTAGCTCCATGAAGCCAATCCAGGGGATAGAGAACAGGATAAGCCACACATGAGAATTACTTCAAAGGAGGTTGGAAAACAGATCAGAGAGGTACACAGAGGGACCACAGAAGACATAACGAAGCAGATAATGGAAGTAATAACCAAAGTGATCCAGACGCTTCCAGAAGACACAAATAACAAACTAGCTGAGCTAAACAAAACTATACAAACCATAATGACAAGTTTAGAAAAAAAATTGGAGTCCATAAGAAGGTTAAAATCAGAAATCCAGGTGATTAAAAATTATATTGAAAGTTTGGGCTGCAGAAATGACCAGTGTGAGAACAGAATTTCAGAACTCGAAGGCAGTGGTGCTTTCAGAGACCAACTACACAAACCAACAAGACAACATGAAAAATGGACTCAACCACTGGATGACACAAAAAAGCCTATGAGTAATTGGAAAAAGCGATAAATCAGAAGATAACACTAACAGCATAAAAATATTCACTGAAATAATGGCAGAAAACTCCCCAAATACAGGAAAAGAAACAAGCACACCAATAAGTGGAGGCATGATCAAAAGAGAGCTTATTATACTTTTAGTACCAGAAACCTATCACAGGAGACAAACTCTTAAGTGCTATTACAGAAAAGCAACAAATTACATGGAAAGGTAAACGCATTAAAATTACACCAGACCTCTCAACACAAAACTTCAAGGCCAGGAGGACTGAAGTGTTTTGAGCTCTAAAAGATAACTTCCAAACCTGACTTATGCATCCTGCAAAACTCTCCTTCATAACTGATGCAGACATAAAGTATTTCCATTACAAGAAGACAAGATATTCATGGCCACCAAACCAGCATTACCAAAAAATTTCAACTGACTTGAAGATAACAATCTCTAATTATTGTGCTTTGAAATTTTGTTTGTTTTTCTTTTTTTTCTCTTTAAAGTAAAATAGATTTAAAAAGAAACAAAAATTTTAAGGGTATTTCTGGAAAACAACAATAAAGCCAACAATGTCAATAAATCAAAAAGAATGAATATACCCGGTGTGATGAGCAGTTAAGCAAAAGAAAAAAAAAAAAAAAGGAAAGGAATATCAACAAGAATAAGTCGATAGTTTTCAGTAAAAACTCTCAGTGTGAAATGGTTTCAATTCCCCACCAAAAGACACAGACTGGCAGAACTGATCCAGAAACAAAATCCTATGATACGCAGGAATCAAGAAACACATTTAATTCAAAAAGAAATTCACAGATTAAAGATCAAAAGATGGAAAATAATATTCCACGCAGGAAAAGAGAAAGAAGTAGTGATCCTAACTTTATTTTTTTTATTTAAAAGAAAAAAAAAAGAAAAAACAGTATAATGGTACAAGTAATACAGAATTGCAAAAAAAGGTAAGAAATTATAATAGATTACATATTGTCATCTTAGAAATGGTTGTTCAAGTTACAGTATTAAAGCATACAAAGTGGACATTCAAACAGTGAGACTGCAAACAGTTGTGTTCAGTGATCCAACAAAAATTTAGTAATATGTTCATTTATCTTAACACACCTAAACACACTTGCAGTTGTATCCTTTAGATCACTTTTTTTCTCTGTTTTACAACAAAACCCAAAATGTGTAAATTTTGTAGTGATATTAACTTTAGACAAAGTAGACTTCAAGCCAAAACTAGTCAGAAGAGACAAAGAAAGTCACTACACATAGGTGAAGTGAATAATTCCATAGGAAGGGATGACGATTATAAACACACTGAATAATAACATGCCCAACTTCATAAAACAAATACAGACAGGCAAAGTTAGATAAATATTAACAAATGGTAAAGGAGGATCTCGGTAATAACCCACTGTCAAAAACAGATCATTTGAGAACTGGGCTCCTAAATCAGGCAAGATGCAAGATTGCTCAAGGTGCAATTTATTGTCAGCTTACAAGACAAAAAGTCCTGTTTTTCCAGGATTTACTCAGTGGCACGTGTTTTTCTTTAAAACTGGAGACACAAGGGACACAGGAGAGGGGAGGTAAAAAGATTTAAGATGTCCTAGTACAGGTACCAACTCTCCATGATGAATTTAAGTACAACTAACTTACTAATAAAAATAAAAGTTAACAGAACAAAAATGACACACAGCCCTCTTTATGGTCAGCTAAAAACCAAAATCGCCTTGATGGGTACAGAGCTACTATTTCTGTCATTTTGAAGATCCCCATGTAAATTGGCATGGTCTAAACCCACACTGTTAGCCCTGTTACAGCTTCACCCTGCTGTACAGGGATGATCTCCAGGGATTACGCTGCTCTCTACTCACCAACAGGAGGCTTAACGGGAGGAAGTCCTGACTGTCGCAGAATCCAACTTCTGTGTTTCTGATACACTGCCTGTTCCAACAACCATGAGAGGAAGTGTGCAAAAACAAAGTGCTGTTAGTTTTAACACTTCACACGGGGCACAGGTAAGACACACATCTCCACACCTACAATGGTGTCTACTGAGGAATCCTAAGACTGCCTGGGAGAGTGAGGCAAGAGCATCAGAGGGCTGCCCAGAGTGGTTCTGTCACCACCCAAGGGGACACTGGCACCTAAAATAGCAATAGGGCCCCTTGGAAGTGCAAACCACCTCAGTGTGCACATACAGAGAGGACAACCACCTAACATAGCTACTCTGCAGCTCCTTAAGCCACACTTTGATATAGCAACTGGACTTTTCCTTGTGCCCTACAGCTAGACCTCCAGGAATGAATGGGGTGAATCAGCAGCACGAAGGGGAGGAGGGAACCCCAGCTGCTCTGCAGGCACTGCTCTCAGGGTGGGTTGCAGGCAAAGAGGCACAGCCCAGAGGCCATGGCCAGTGCTTCTCAGAAGACTAAAGCTTGTCTCAGTTTCTACAAAAAAGGATGGAGAACACGGAGGCAGGGGTCCTTGTTTGACAAACACTGGGTGGCTAAACAGGCAGTACAGCCCTGTCACAAACTGGGTAAAGAGCTTGCAACATCTTCTGCAGATATTTACACTCCCAGTTGTACAGTGTTTTGTTTTCCTGCAAGTATACCAGGAATACTTCTTAGCAACATCTTGCCATAGCTCTAGAAAAGACAGATAGCTGGCCGTGTTGGTAAGACTGGGCAGTCATTGTAAACCTTCATTCTAAAGTCTAGGAGACATGCTGTAATTTATCTTATACTCTCCACCTCGCAAGTCATTTGTAACAGTCCACCTTCTTACCAATGTGGCATAGACATCTTCTATGTAATTTACCCTGACAACTTTTTCTATTCAATCCATTTAAATTTAGTGTTACACAGTTTGCCTGCACATGCCTGTAATCCTAGCACTCTGGGAGGTTGAGGCAGGAAAACTCCAAGTTCAAACCAGGCCTGGACAATTTAACAAGACCCTTTCTGGATAATAAAAGAAGGGGTGATGTGTAGTACAGGTAGAAGGCTCCCTCCCCAGTACCACCCCAAACCCCAAAACAACAACCACAACCACAAAAATGCCTCCAAAAAAACAAATCAACAACAAACAGACTCATTAATACTACCCTTTATTTTTGTTTTGTTTTGTTGAAACAAGGTCTCCCTGTGTAGTTCACACTGGCCCTACAATCCCTGTGAATTCGAGGCTGGTACTGAGCTCTCAGCAACCTTCCTGCCTTAGCTTCCCCAGTGCCGGGATTACAGGTGATCTCCACACCCAGCTATGTTAATATTGCTTGCAATGTTCAGAGAGAAAATGTGATTCTTATAGTGAAACAGAAATTGAAGGTACAGGGAAAACAACAGAGTACTCATTTAGACTATTTAGTAAGCCAATGGAAATTAAGCTCAAGGCCCGTCACAGCTTACTTACTTATCTATTTTATTTATGATACAAGGTCTTCCTATGAAGCTCAGTATAGCCTTAACCTGGATTTATGATTCACATACATCTCAGATTCATGATTTTCCTGCCTGAGCCTCCCAAGTACTGGAATTACAGGCATGCACTTCCATGCCTTGCCAACATTTGTAAGACACCTTGAGGGAGAAAGTGTTAATTCTTAAGAACTTACTAGTTAAAAGACACACTGGAAAGTGTTCAGCTTTAAAAAGTTTATATAAATGTATTTTTCTCTGATTTTCATACAGGCAAGAAAGAGAAAAAAGGAAAACTACCTACACAGGGGGCTAACAACAGGAAACTTGTAACAACCCCACTGGTACAGTTTATACAGCACAACCATGTACATCAGGAATGAGAAGGAATGAAGTCTCCACCTAACACTGAGATTGTCAGCAATGCACGAGGCTCAGGACTCCATCAGCTTCACCCACATGACACATTGAAGCATCAAAATCACATTACTATGATGCCCAAGTTACAGATATGGAAACTGAGGCACAGCACAGCTGCATGACTTGCTCAAGGTCATGTCCCTGCTACCACAAGAGCTGGATGTGGATGTGGGCTCTCTCAGGACCCTATCAGTGCCTTTTACTAGGTGGGCAGGACTGTCAGGGACTCAAGGTCTCCTCTCAGCCAACTGCACTCTTCAGTCAGCAGTTACATAAGGGCCATCCCGACTGCACTGGAAAGGTCAATGCCTTGCCATCTCTCACTGAGAAGGCAGCAGGGCTGCCCTAGCGGTCTCCACAAGGCTTCTGCCTTCTTCCCTGTCCCTCTTCAGGTGGCACAAGGTAAGTATATGGAAAGATAACACTGGAGGGAAGGGAAAAGGAAAGACAGAGTTGGCAGAAGCTGGAAGTTGTGAGCTAAAGTTTACTCTGCCATTTCTTCTAGTGTGGAGAGAAGTCCCAAGTGTCACACTGCAATTTTCCTGGCAAGCCAGTGCTGCCTGCCACACACTGCACCCCACAGGTGCATCAGCCTCAGCCCTGAGAGCACAGATGGGTGCTCCACTTTATTAGTTGGGCAAGGATGCTAAGGTTCAACCAGACAGATTTTTTAAAAATTCTATTATTGTTGTTAACCATTTTCCAACAAATGTTAGGGCTAATCCTGAACCATTGACACCTGGGCATGCAACCAAACTCAGATGCTTTGTAACACATACAATGGCCACTCTAGGTAATTATTAGCGCGCACATGCTCCCAGCCAGTGTTGCATTACATGGCCCACCACATACCATCCATCTGGATCTCATTGGGCTGCACAGAGTGGGAAGACTTGGAAGAAGAGACTCGGAAGTTTGCAGGGAGTGTCTCTGATGACCCAGTTGCCACGCCATGAATGGCCTTTTCTCTAACCTTCTCTCTCCATGAAGGTGCTCTCCTAAAGTGTTTGTCATGCTCCTGGCAAATGAAAACACAGAACAGGCACACTCTAATAAAGATAACTGTCCTTCAGAAGGACTCCTAAGCCCCTGACTGTTTTGCTTTACTTAGCCTTTCCTGGTGACCTTCCAATGTGCTGCACACACTGGAACTTCAGTGTGAGAGGAAACATGATTACATTCCTGCTGGGCCCCAACTGGAGAAACGAGGGCAGTCCTGGGCACCAGGGATGTGATTTTCTCACCCATCAGAATATTTTATTTCTTACTGTGGACAAGCTCTTGCCTGCTATATAATGTACTTTTATTTATTTTCAAAATATTCTGGCTACAAATAATCCAACAAATGCTTTGCTTCCAGATTCAGCTTCCATCTTCTTTGTGAAAATCAAGTACTCTTGGAGCTCACTGAAGACAATCGTAATGTATGGCAACAGGTTAGTTATGATTTAGCATGAGGGGAAATTTAATATACTTTTGAAAGAAACCTTCCAAACAGAAGAACTGGGGCAGGACAGTCAGCTGTCACCAAAACACAACTTAAGACTTTGATCGCAGGCTGCAATCTGTTTGACAATATAGAAATAATTTTTGAAGGTTGCCAAAAATTAAGTAGTGGACCAAGAGCAAGGATCAGTAGTAGAGCACTCAACTGGCATATGTGAAGCCCTGAGGTTGATTCCTAGCAGTGAGAGGAGAAAAAAGCTGAAAACTTACAACATCAAAACGTCTGACAGTCCCAAGGACCAAAAGGTCGGCAAATTCTTTGTCCAAGACATTTCGAGCCTGAAGTAACAAAACAACAACTAAATATATCTGAAGGATGTTACACATTACAATTTTTTAAAACAAAGACTTCAAAGACTCACATGCTTGCAACACAAACTGGAAAGAAAAGATAGTGAAAAATCAAGCATTTGCTTATTTTGAACTACCATATTATAGATTAGTTATGGAAAGTGATTACTAGTTGTCTAGAGTTAAATTTTCTCTCCATTCAAATGAAAAATAAGTATTCTAGAACCACAGAAAAACCGAACACTGTGGCTAAGCAGACAGAGGCACAGACTCCGTTGTCACCTTTCTGTTCTCTGTCGGGATCTGTAACAACAGGGCCAATGTGTTGTAATCGAAGGCTTCATCTAAGGCCAGCTGTGCGCCATGAACCCCACTCTCTATGAGGTTGTTTGCATATTCTTTAAGGCCAATGGATATGACCCAGCGAATCACTCGATCATTGCTCCAAACAAGCACATCTGTGAAAGAACAAAACAACTGTAAATGTGGCTTCAGAAAACCTCTTCATCATACATGTCCTGCAATGCAGGGGAAAGATTCCTAGCATGGATCTTGATCCCTCAGCTCCTGAAAATGGACTCCACACTCACAAATACTGACAGACACACACCTAGACACAGCTGTTTTGGTTCTGCCTCATTCTAATAAAAACTTTCCCTTTAGAAGCCTCCCCTAGTGCACTCAGGTGTCACAGTAAGATTGTGGATAGGATATATTCAGGGAACAATACAGCATGATTGGCTGAGGATGTAGCTTGGTGGCAGATCACTTGCCTAGTATGTACAAGGCCTGGGGTTCAATCCTAAGACTGCAAAAACATCAGGCTGAGGGTCAGAGTCAGACCTAGCACGTATAAGCATGTTTCCTACACAGACCCCAGAGTCTCCTGAAATGCTTCTCCATCATGAAAGGGGCAGATACCATGACAGTTCAGATACCTTGCTGAGTTCAACACAAACTCTTTGCTTCTGACCTTCTGACCTTCGTTTTCTTTTACTTTTTCTTGTTGTTGTACTGGGAATCAAACTCAGAGCCTTGTGCTTACCAGGTAGGTGCTAAGCCACTGAGCCATACCCCAGCCCCTGTGCTTCTGAAGCTTTGGTCATATCAACATCTTAATATATTACAAAGAAAGAATTTTAAAGACATTCCAGCATATTAGATTTTGGCAATCGTATATCATACAAAGATAATTATTAAATGTATTCTATTACAGACCAAAAAATTGCCACTCCGTAAAAATATATCTGACCACCAATCTTTTCAAAGACTGCTTTTGCCAACTGACAAAATATGGAGAGGGGATATAGAAAACAAATTAAATGGATTAATACATTTCATGTCTGATTTTTTTTCTCAACTTTGTTTTGGTACCAGGGATCAAACTCATGACCTTGCACTTGCCAGGCAGCCGCTCTGTTGTTGAGCTATATCCCCGGCCATGACTTTCTTTTCTAAATAGACCTCAACGTATTCTTTGTTTTAAAAGAATTAAAACCCAGGCCTTGCACAGACTAGGCAAGTGTCCTACCACAGGGCTACATCCCTGGCCAATAGATAATCCTTTATTTTATTTAGAAAAAGACATCAGAATGAGGATGAAAATAACAGAACCACGATGCAGCCTGAATGAATCAACTATGGAAGGCTTGACACAGTGCTTGATCATTATTCAGTAAGTCTCATTTCTTCTCATCACTGCAGTGCTATTAGTAACTACCGAGAATTCTGAGAGACTCTCGTGAGCATGACATTCAGTGTTGTCTTCAGAGAAAATGCCTGTCCCTGTCATACTGAGGGGGCTGCCATGCCCTCTCCTACCTCCTGGCCTGTTTCTGACATGTCTTTCCTTTGCCCACAGGACACTCTGTGGTTTCTGTAAGGACTGCAATCCAAGTTAGTATGGGTGCTGTGGCAGGAGGGTCACAGGTGTAATCCCAGACCAGGGTACTTAGTGAAATTCTGTCTCAAAATAAATAAATAAATTACAAAATTATGGGTGCTAGGCTATTGGTTGCCTTGACCTCTCCCTCCCTCTGGGAGCAGAACTGTGTGCCCTGCATGCTGCCACAGGCCTTAGAAAAAGCTCCCAAAGCTGTAGTTTTAACCTCTATCCAGTAAGCAAAAGGCAGTGGCTTGTTTGCCTTGCTCTGATCTAATAGCATAAGGCAGCATCTCTGAGAGAGCGTATACAGTGTACAACAACAAAAGGAAAACTACATGAAAGAATGCCAGCACCAAGAGGGTAGCCTACAGACTGAGATAAGCACACACTGTCTCAGGGCACCCCTTTTCATCCCTCCTCTTGTTATCATGCCAAGCCAGTTGTTTCCACTTAAAAGTCTTCCCTGATTTATTTTTTTGTGGTACTAGAGACAGAAGCCAGAGCCCTGAGCATGCTAGGCAAGTCTTTTTTCACTGAACTACATTCTTAGCACCCCTAATTTTCAAATCTAGTTTTAGTGTTCTGAGACAGGGTCTCACTAAATTGCCAGGTCGGCCCTGAATTTGTGATCTTCCTGCCTTAGTATTCTTAGTAGCTGGAACTGTAATTTGTGTAATTCCCAGATAAATGTATGATTATTTTGTGCTTTTTTTTTTTCAGTCCTAGGGATCAAACCCAGGGCAATGCAAGTGGTAAGCAAGTGCCTTATCACTAAGCCCTTGATTTCTTTTTGAGGTACTCAGGAATAAACACAGGGATTTGCACTGAGCTGCATCTCTAGCCCTGTTATACTTTTCATTTTGAGAGAAGGTTTCACGGAGTCCAAGCTGCCTGGGCTAGGCTTGTGACTCTGCTGCTATATCCTCCCAGAGTGCTAGGATTGCAGGTATGTGCCAGCTCAGCTGGCTGCTATACTTTTTCAAACAGGCAATCACCCAGGCTGCCTGGGAGGCAGCAGGCATGTGCTGCATCCATCCGGCATAATGTACTTGCCTTTAACTACATGCTGACTTTCTTCTCTTCTTCTTTCCAGTTCTTTACGATCATAATTTAACCTTTTCAGGCACATAAGTCCACACTGGAAGCTGTTCCTATTTACAAAATAAGGGGTTATTTTACAGTGGCAATGTGAAGTCTCTTGATCCGTTAGGAAGAACCACTTGCACTGCCTCACCTGTGAAAACTGTCAACCATTTTCAGCCGCCCCCGCAGGTCTTTCCTGGTCAGGTGGTCCAGCATCCGAGCATCCACAAGGCACTCCATGAAATAGCTTCGGTACTGAGGTAGGCCCAGGCTGGGCAGCCACTCATTGCCAATCCACTCGTGGTCCATGTCCCCATATGCAAGTGTCTGATTTCAACAAATGAGTGACATCAGTTCAGATTTTTAATCTAGACACCATTCTTAAAGGCTAAATGAATGACAACATTGCTTTTCATAATTTCTAAATATTTGATCTCCCATTCCTACCTTTTCAAATTCCTAAAGTTTTATCCAACAGAAATCATATTGGCAAAATTTTATGACTCATTTAGGACAATTTACCAAGCTATAGAAAAATCATACCTGTCTATAAATTCCTTTTCTGAATTAGTTTTCAATATAATAATATAGGAATAAAGAATGATCATGACTCATGAACAAGTTTGAAGAATCAATTCAAATCATCTCAAATGAGCTCTAGCTGGTTTTGATTTTATTTTTAATACTTTGTCTTCCTAAATGACAAGTGTATTTGAAAATCAGGAAAAGTAAATTTAAAATGATAAATGAACAACTAATGAGACTAAGAACAAAAACAGAAAAATACAATTAAATTTAGAAGACTTCAACACTCCTCTCTTAACAACTGGTTCAATGTGCCAATCAAAAAACCAAAAAGGACTAAGAAAAGGAAAACAATCAGGAAGGCTACGGACAAAAACAATACTGTCAATCAATCTGACCCAGATATAACTTACACTTTTTCCTTTCTTTTTTTTGGGGGGGGGGTTACTGGGAATTGAACTCAGGACCTCATGCTTGCAAGGCAGGTGCTGCACCACTGAGCTAAATCCCCAGCCCCTCCCCACAACCTTTAAAGACAGAGATTCCCATTATATTACCAGGATTGAGTGCAGTGGCTATGCACAAGCACTCCCTATGCAAAGAGATATTGATGCCACTCTTAGTATGATGTCCATCTTAGTTTAATGCCCAATTGTCATAGGACATTATAACAGCCAACTTCTGGGCTCAGTCTCTTGAGTTTTGGCAACTACAGGGGTGCATCATCACATCTGGCTTCAGGACGTACTTTTTTGTGGTGTGGTATGGTGGTGCATGCCTGTAAACCCAGCACTCAGGAGGCTGAGACAAAAGTATTTCGAGTTTGGGACTAGTCTGCACTACACCAAAAATAAGGAATCATGGTAAGTAGGTTTACTGACTCAGGAATAGGTTGGTTCACCAACTGAGGAGGAAAAAAAAAATCAATGAAATTTGCCCAATTACGAGATCAGCAAAGAAAGCCATGTCTCATAATACCTTATGTGGCACAAGATCCATCATTCAGTTATGAAACTCAGCATTCTAGGACGAAAGACCCACCGCCTCAATCTATTAAGGGTCATCTACCAAAAGCCTGCAGCTAAAAACCTCACAATGAGGGACCAAATGTCTCCCTGAACGGAAAGAAGCACAAGGGGTGTCCACTGTCACCGTTTATGTTTGCCTGTGCTGGAGACCTGGCCACTGTAATGGCAGGAAAAACATAAAAATGGCATGAGTTGAGAAAGACATAAACCTCTCTTTATTAGTAAATGACACAATTATCATTGTTGAAAAAGTCTATGAAATAGCTATTAGGGTTTATACATGAATTTAGCAAAGCTGCTGAATATACAATGAATACACAAAAATTAACATTTCTAAATATACAAAATGAACTGGAAATTGAGATTTTAGAAGTATCTTATATAATGGCACTAAACTGCATAAAATCCTTAGCAACCAATTCAACAGAATATGTCCAAGGTCTGTACAATGAAAAATAGACATGATATACAACCACTTCACAGAGAATGGTTCGTTATGCTCTCCAGCTAAGGAAGATTAAATTACATTCACAGGAATCCTAAGGTACATTGAGGAATCCTTTAAAATAAAAACTATCCATTCCCATCCATCCTCTCCTGGCTTGAACTCAGGGTTTCATACCTGCTAGGCAAGCACTCTAACCTGAGCTACATCCCCAACCCCTTACAACAGGGTCTCACTAGGCCCAGGCTGGTCTCTAAGTTGATATCTTCCAGCCTCAGCCTCCTGAGTTCTGGGATTACAGTCATAAACCACCATGCATGGCCTCCATGTTTGGTTTAGAACAATGGATTCCACTCTAGTATTTTATTTGTTCCAGTCAAGATACAAGGGATGGCTCAGCTAAGAGGAATGTTCCAATTCTAACAGAAAAGATTTCATAACTTTCTTTAAATGATGAGTGACAAATATACCACTATGGTAACCATTAAGATACCTAACAATGTTACCATGATGCAGTCCTTTGAGTCATACTTTCATGGGCCTGGGATTCACAGCCTGAATATTTGATGTTTTCTGGCCTGCTGACTATGCTCTCTTCTAATGAGTAGAAGAAATCTTCCAAATAAAAAGCTGTGCGGAAGCAAACCCTCCATATCTCTGTTTACTACTTTTGCAGTTGCTGATAATGCAGATTCTGACAGCTCAGACTCAGTTTGAGGGAGAGCCTCCTCCTCTCCCTGGCTGCCACCACAGCCTTCTGAAGAAGTGTGCAAAGGGACCTCATGCTCCAAGCATGGACAAGTCATGCTCAGTCTCAAGGTCAGTAAAATGCGAGCTCCATGAGAGTGGGACTGCAGCTGTCCTGCTCATTAATGGCTCCTGGCAGCTGGCACAGCCTTCTTACACAGCCAGTCATATCTTACATCTGATATGCGAACAGTTCTGACCACACTTGAGTGTTCCTTCCAAAGCTCAGTCAGGAGTGAGGCCACCCAGTGCCAGCACGGGCAAAGCACAATGCTTTGTGCTAGCATAGCTCTGTCCTAGCAGCTCTGTCTGGGAAAGGATGGTGGCAAAGTGCACCAAGCTTCTGCAGAACATTGCATGTGGGGTAAATCTGGAATCTTCTGCATGGGCCCCTTTTATATGGTCACTGCAAAAAGCAAATGTTAAGCTTGTTCAACTACACTTTATGTCTCTGATGCTATTTCATATTGAAGTGGTGACCATATTCTACTTTGTCTTTTGGAATATATTGAAACTTACGTAATTATGAAATGCACTGCTTAATTCACTGATGGTCATTGTTGGTCCTGTAGAGAGACCTCTAACTAGGTGAATTTAAGTGATTCTAGAGGCAGGGAGTATCTAAACCCAGGGAGGGAAACCCAGTTAGTAGCTATTCTCTTTCTTCTTAGTTTTTGTTTCTAAACTTTTTGTAATTTTGAGACAGGATTTTACTATGTAGTTTAGGCTGACCTTGAACTCACTATGTAGCCTATGCTGGTCTCAAATTTGCAACAAACATGCTTGATCAACCTCCCAAGTCCTGGGATGACCCATATGTGTCACCAAGTTCCACCTCTCTTTTTTTCAAATGAACAAACAAAACAAACAACCAAGTGCTATAACTGAACAACCTTTAGAAATGCAAACAGAAGCAACTGTTTCAAGCATCATCTTGGAATCAGCAAATTCTAATCTTAACTCATTTATACTTGCTTTCAGACATATGCTAACTCTTCTGAGCCCCCGAATACCGTGCCCCTGGGAAAAGCTGAAGAACTACAAGTCCCCTGGTACTGCACTGTGCCCACCAAAGACCCAAGAGGGCAGAGGGATGCTGGGAATTTAACCAAGTCATCTGACTCAGACACTGTAAAACATGGGGCAGAGCTTTCTGTGTAGTGAAGAGTTAGGCAGCTGAAATTCAATCTCTGTGAAGTGATAAGCCTTAATTTCTGAGAACTCCATTACTAAGATCTTTAACTCAACACAGTAGGGCAGTACTTAGTCAAATAACAATATAAAGACATAGAGGGAAAGGCCCCGTGCCAACTTTCAGGTTTAGAAGTGTATTTCATGATTTTTTTCAGCAGTACATTTTAGAACAAAACTAACCCAGCAACGAACTACATGTACATAAACTCAGGAGTTGCCTAAACCAGGGGACTTTGTATAAAAGATTCTATTCATAAATAAAACAACCTTCGTTCAAAGTAATTTCCATGATCCCATATGGGAAATGTTCAAAATTATCCATGAGATGTAATCTTTAATCCTGTGATTTATTTGATTACATTCTTCAAGTCATTAATGATACTATGAATAAATTAAGGTGTGAAAAACACCTACTAAAGCAGGTCACACAAGTTTACATCCTCAATTGCTTTTTGTTGCTACAGAGTGAAGAAATATTATAGAAAGACTCCAACCTTATCCAGCTTCCCTCCTCATCTTCCTGATGTTAGGTTGTTAGGAATGTAAAAGAACATAACTATTAGTATTAGTGAACTTTAGTAGTGTAAGCAAATTAATTCTGCAGGGAACATGCACCTTGACTGAGTGAAAAACATTCAAAATATCAATGCCTCATGCAAAAACTCATGAAAATCCAAGAATTTCAATTTTCCATGCAAGGAGCAGACTTTTTCCATGCCAACTAACCTCATACAGTAGACTGTTGGTGTTAGACAACCACAACGCAGTGCTCAATGGAGGTCTCTCCAAAAGGAGAAGCAAATTACATCTTCTCTAAATGGGGCAAATCTATAAACTAAATTCTTGTAAAAATCTAAAAAATGCAAATATGACTATACGCTATGAGCTAATAACCTAAAAAGAACACATTATATTTGAAACAAATGCAAATTAACTTTTGTTTTCAACAAAAGACAAAGGGCCCTTTGGTCTGGAGTAGGAAACCCACTTTGGAACATGAGCTGCAGGGCTGACTGACCATCTGAGATGTGGCTGCGAGTGTTTCCATCTCTTCATGTGTTAACCAGACATTTCCTGTGGTCTAAGGTGACCCCAGTGCACCAGCCACATCCAGGGCAAGGGAAGCATGACAGAAAGGAGAAGGACGCACATATGAGCCACAGGCACAGTAAGGAGCCACGAGGCAAAGGTCACTCTTTGCACATTTTCATTTCAGGCACCCACAGAGAAAGCCAGAGATCATTAACACAGGCTCATCCTCTTTTAAACAATAACAGTGTGGTCGGAATATAAGGAGAACAGCACACAATTTCCAGATCACATGCTTAAAAGTATGGATGAGAACATACTTTATATTTCTGAAAAGTTACTTTCCCCAGTAACTGATGATTCAATAGACAGTATTTTCAATAGTCTCACCATGTTGGAGGTATAGCTCATGATAGGGTTTTTGCCTGGCTCTCCCAAAGCACTAGGTTTAAGCCTCAGTACAGCAAAACAAAAGAATAAAACAAAACACACAGAAAGCAGTCTCACCCCAACACAGGCTAACAACAGGATGCTCTGGCCTTGGCTTCCTGTGGCTGCTTTCAGCAGATGATCCAAAGCCAGAGGAAGCCCAGGAGGCCAGGGCACAAGATAGTGAGCACAGGAGAGCCAAACAATGCAAACACCAAAAACAAAGCACTTGTCACCATCTGAGTCAAACCTGAGACTGATGGCCACTCTGCTAGCCCACTGTAAGCTCCCCAAGAACAGCAATTTCTGTGTTTGTAACTGGTGATATGGAGAGTCTTTCTGATGTGAGGTCTAGTCCTTGCCAATAGTTCAACTGAATCACAGAAGCTCCCTTTTGAAAGAGGGTTCTTAAAAGCTTTGAAAAAGCCATGCAGCATCTTCATTTCTACAAAGCCCACATTAATGTGGAAATAGCTGCAGAACAGACTGATACTGGTTACAAAACATTCCACCAAGGGAAAGTGTTCTTTGGCCATACGTTAAAAAAAAAAAAAGGCTTATTGTTCATTTTCATAATTCTCTAACAACAAAATCTTCACACTTTTTTGTGTATAAAGTTACTGTAGGCAGACCTTGCTCTGCTGCTCAGAAGGATGTCTACACAGCTCTAAGAGTTTGTTGAACATCTAAATGAAAAACCCCTGAACTTTGCAACTTAAGAGCTGGCCTGCTCTTCCCTTCTAATAACCACCAATGTTTCATCAGAAGAGTCACCAGGAAGCTCTTTGAGGGCTCTTCACTACTCCCCAAGTGGACAGCATCTTTGTGAGCACAGGCATGGTTGGACAGACACATGCAGCTCCCAAGACCCAGAGCACCTGCTGGTGCCGTGACACACAACCACAGTGCATCTAGGAAACTCGGCATTTTTCCTCCTTTAGTTCTTGTAGGGAAAAAAAGACATCCACAAAGAAGAGAAGCTTAGAACTGTCCAGGAACCAGTGGATTTCTGGGAGGTGACCACCCCTTGTTAGCATGTCAACTGTATGTCAGTGGCACCTCTGGACTGCCACAAATTACAGTTACTCTGTAAGTCCCGCCTATATGTGCAGTGATGCAGATGCACTCACACGCACAAGACTGAAGGAAAGAAGCCACACACAACAAAGTAAAGGCAGCCCAACCTAGTTTATAGCCAAGGGGCCATAGCCAGGTGCTTATTTATGCCCGGGGATTGTATGCAAGGGTTTATACATTCCTGGGCTTATCTGTATATTTTGCTACCTGTATACTTGAAGAAAAACAATATTTTCCGCATATAATTTGCTTAGCAAGTACCTTTATATACCGTACAAGTACTAATTATTGTTTGAACTATGAAATAGAAATCAAAGTTCAAGGATGAAATGCTACTTAAAATGTTAACTTTTCCTTCCTCAAGAGGTCCTTACACTTACTCAGTTTTGATAAATTCATACGTACATTTGTGACAATCAATTTTCTACCTTTCAAAAAGCCTTCTTTCTTAAAGAAGGCCTTTCTAACCAAGTTTTATTCATTTATTTAATTATTTATTTTTTGGTCTTTTCTGAAACGGGATCTCATTACTCAGTTCAAGCTGCTCACACTGTAACCCACTGGCCTAGAACTCACAGTGATCCTCCCACCTCAGCCTTCTGAGTGCTGGAACTACAGGCATGTGCCACCACACCTGGCTTTAACCACACTTTTACACAAGCAGTTCACACATTTTCTTTGGATCACTCAACCCCTCCAAGTTAGGGGTTGTACTATGCTTTCCTGAAATTTTAAGTTGAAACCACCCTGTATGATTAGGAAGCAGCACGGAAACATTAGCAGGCTACTGCTTTTGTGGGCTCTGCCTTCCTCCTCCACAGAGGGCACACAGAGCCTCTGTGAACATACCTTTTTCAATGTGGGTGGAGCCGAAGGGCTGGTGAGCCACAGGGTTTCCTGGATGGCCAGCCGCAGCTTCAGTCTGTGCAGAGGGTGGCTGATGCCAATCTCTTGCTGGATCTGTCTGTCTGACAGAGCTGACATGATGGCCCCACTTTTCACATTTGCTCTGCAGGCAGCCACATAGCAAGCAGGCATCCCAACCCAGAGCTAGAAAGAAGAATGAAAAGACCAGAACATCAGGTAGAGACAGGAGATGCATGACAAGCTTGTGTCATGTAGCATAGGTCTCTGTAGTAAAGGGATGTACCTCCAGCCATTCAACCACGGTTGGCCCGTCCCACTGTGAAAATGGTAAGCCTTGCCTCTGGGCTTCCTCCAGCAACTCAGGCCTGTGAAAAAGAAGACATTCAAATTAAAGAAGCACTGTTACACATCCAACAAGTTAATGGAACAGTCTCTGAGCATTTTCAAAAGTATAACACATATTCTCAGTTCCTTTTATCTTCTACAGTTTTAATGTTATTAACATCATCCTTGTAATGACAGTCACACACATACTATGGAGAACGCCTGAGTAAATAAAAAATGCTACAGAGTTCTCTTGATTCCCAGTCAAATCACCATTACTTCAGAGAATTGAAGAATTACTACCAACTTATAAAACTCAAGCAGAATTTTCATATCCAAGGTAGTAAGACAATTAGGGGAAAACATGAAACCCTACTTCAACAATGAAGAAACAGTATCTAGGAAGAGGAAACCACACCTCAGTTGAGACATCAGTGCCTAATTTTGTGAGAGACTTTAAAAAACAGTGTTTTTGGGGGGTGGTTGTGGTTTGGGGAATGTTGAGACAAAGTCTTGCTATGTATGTAGTCCAGGTTGGCCTCAAACTCTGTGTAACCAGTCTCCCCCAGTGCTTGGATTATAGATGTGTTTCATACTCCCAGCTGTAATGCAGACTTTTAACCACAAAAAGATTATCGTCTAATACAGCAAACAAGTAACAGAGGACAGTTTCTATTGTACACTGCTCTTTAAGTAAACGGGTACTTGATAAGTCACTGGGTCATTCTGTGGTTTTAACCCATTGATCTCTTCTTTAGCCAGCCATTCAACACCTCCTTCAATGCCGAATGTATCACCAGCACAGAAACTCATGCAATACCAAGGCAGTACTGCAGGGAAGTGGGTAGGTGAGTCTTGCATGCACTCCGTAATGTGATTTGAGGTTTCATATATGCTTTATTTCTAAAGACTCAAGTTACACTTTTACTATACTAACATCTCTAAAAGTGATTTGTGTAACACAGTTATGTGAAACAGTAACATTGTAAGCATGGTAAGTCTGACATTAGAACACAAAGGACAAGTATGTTTCAGATACACAAAAACCCTAGTCAGTCTCAGTCAATCAGTCTCTCTTCCCCTTTTCTTTCTTTTGGAAACTTATGTTCCTAAGTAAAATGTTTCATATACAATTTCAACTAAGAGTTCCTTAAGTTACCGCTAAGCTTACAGGAACAATCACCAGGGAGTAACTGTACCAGAGAAGGCAGCAAATGTGTTATCTCAGATGAAACAAGAAAAAAAAAAACAAAAAAAAGAAGAAGAAGAACAACAACAACAACAATTTTCTAGTTGAAACAAGCAAAGCTATTCACAGAGAAACAGATCAGCAGAAGTGTGCTCCTAAGTACAAGAAGTAGTAGGCTACTGTCATGGTTTATGTCTGTGGCCCCCAGGCCTCATGCATTTTCATTGTGCATTTGTGATGGTTCATTGTCTAGTGCTTGGATTCATGGTGTCAGTGTTACACCCACATAAGAGTGGAGCCAGGATATGATGTAATGGTAGGAAGAAAGTGTATCTTGCTCTTTGCCTGTTCCTACTTGCTGTTTGCAGCCACCATGAACTGTGACCCAGCCATGCCCACCTGCCTTGGAGCCAACTGAGTGTGGACTGAAACCTCCAAAAACTGTAAGAAATAAACTTTTCCTTTCCAAACTTGGGCTTCAGGTATTTTGTCTCAGCAATGAGTAAAAAGTAACTAAGACAGAATTTGGTACCGAAGAATGGGGTTGTTTGCTGTGACTATACCTTACCATGTTTTTCAAGAAATGGCTTTGGAAATGGCTTGTGGGCAGAGTTTGGAAAGGTTTGGATGTGTTGCCTGGATGCATAGAGCTAGAGCAGCTTAGGCAGTTCTGTAGAGGAGATAGTGGTCACAGCTCAGGAGACCAGAAGGCTGATAGGAAGCCTGATGGTAAAGACCAGGCCTGGGAGATTTCTGCTGGGAAGAAGGACTGCAGTGGTTGTTGGACTCCCCATGATGTGAGTTATGGGTTGGCAGAAAGTTGTCTACATTTTGCTCATGTCCAGAGACTTTGCCTGAGACTGAAACAAAGGGCAATGGACTGATTAATCTTGAAAAAGAAATTAAAAAGCAATCAAATGTTGAGTCTGTGGCATGGCTACTGTAGAGGGCTTTTAGCCAGCTTTATGTTGCAAATCAAGAGGAAAGAGCCCAGCGGGATAATTTGCAATACTGTGAGTTTGGCCAGAAAGAATATTTCAGGAAGGCTGTGGATTGTAAAGACAGTGGAGATTCTGATGGCTGAGGGAAAACAGAGAAATAAGAAAGATGGGCCGGGGGCATCCCAGGAAGCAGGTCCCCACCCTGTGCAGCCTCACTGCAAAGGTAAAATAATTTTTTCAGAGGAGAAAGCTGCAGAGCACCAGGTTCCAGAATGGCGACAGAGACCACATGAGTTTCCAGAATGGTGACAGGCCACATGAGGTTCCAGAATGGTGGCAACATAGAGAAGCTTTTCCTCACAATCAGTTAAACAGAGCCCTGTGATCCAGGCAACTGACCCCTACAGCCAAGAGAGAGAAAAGCCTGAGTACTGCTCTAGCTAGCAGCAAACCTTGGCAACATCCACATGGTGCTGATCTTAGGTGCTAGGAAAATGCACAAATTCTGAGGGTAAGATGGCTTCTACCTCTATTGCAAAGGGCCTGGGAGGCCAAGCTGTGTGCCCCTGAGAGGGCAATTTGTGAAGACATAAAGGTGAAGCCAAAGGTGCAGTGGAGACCCCAAAAGTTTGGAAAAGCCAGAAACATGGACGATCCAAGGAAAGCTCCAAAAAGCAAGCAGAGAGGATTTAAGAGAAAAGCTGCAGGAGGTGAAATCCCTGGAAGTGCCTTGGGGGTGGAATCACACAAGCCTTTTGGAGCTTGTAACCATATTGCTTCAGATGCAGAGCAAGGAACTCTAGGACTTAATGTTCATCCTGCTGGATGTTGGATTTGCTTTGTTTCCAATGCTTTATATTCCCCTGTTTGTAACTTTTGGAATAGTAATGTTTATTTTGTGCCTTTGCATTTGAGAAATGTTTAAACTTGTTTCATTTGTACAGGGGTTACAGTTAAGAGTTTGCCATAGATCATGGAGGAGACATGGGACTTGGACTGTTCAGCAATGCTGAAACTTAAGACTTTGGAAACTCTTGGTGGTGGACTAAATGTCTTTTGTATAAAGGATGTACAAGAGTCCTGGGGGCCAGGGGAGGAATGTCATGGTTTATGTCTGTGGGCCCCCAGGCTTCATGTATTTGTATTGTGCATTTGTGATGGTTTATTGTTAGTGCTTGGATTGATGGTGTCAGTGCTATACCCACAGAGGGGTGGAGCCAGGATGTAATGTAATGGCAGGGAGAAGGTGTGTCTTGCTCTTTGCCTGTTCCTGCTTGCTGTTTGCAGCCACCATGAACTGTGGCCCAGCCATGCCCTGGAGCCAACTGAGTGTGTGAAACCTCCAAAAACTGTAAGAAATAAACCTTTCCTTTCCCAACTTGGCCTTTAGGTATTTTGTCTCAGCAATGAGTAAAAAGTAACTAAGACAGCTACCAAACCTGGCTACAGAGCTGCTATGACTCATTTAAGGAAACAAGAAACACACACACACACACACACACACACACACACACACACACAGAAAGAGAGAGTGTGTGACAAACATACAGAGAGACAGACAGACAGACAGACAGACAGACAGACAGACAGACTGACCCCAAGAAGCAGTGTAAATCCATTTCTGGGTAAAGATCTGAAATTCTGTAATATTAAGTGAGGGTCTGTCCTGGATGCTCTGGCCAGGCCAGGGAAGAGGAAGACTACTGCTGTAGGTCAGAAGCACTTCTAGATTATGTGCCTATTCAAATAGACTAAGTAAGAACTATGTCCTCAGTAGTCTAAAAATGATTTTGTTGGTGTTTTCATTATTTTTGATGGTACTGGGGATGGAACCAAGCACTCATTGAACTAAACCGCCAGCCATTTGTACTATACTTTTTATCTTGAGACAGTTTCTTAAGTTGCCTAGAACAATGGTATTGTCATCATAAATGACCCTCCTGCCTGGACCTCCCAGGTAGCTCGGATGATTAAAGGTACATACCACTGCACAGCTGTAATTTGTGAAAGTACATACCAGACATGTACTGCAAACAAGAACAAGGCCCACTACCTGAAGCTTGGTATAAACTGCTGCTGCCTTTACATCCTTCCTCCTCCTTACACCTGCATCCAGATGCAGCAGTGGGAGTGGTGTGAAGGTAGCAGAAGTAGGATGATGCATTCAAAAGTCATGGGATGTTAGGAAATAACACAGAAGACCCTGGCTGGGGAGTTGGCCCAAGTTCCACCTACAGGTAGCTACACCTCCCCTACCAGGTAGTTTGTGGACTACGAGATTGGGCACCTAACCTTGGTTAACACGATAGGTGGGCACATTAGAGTCCAGTTTTCTTGAGAGTTGTTCCCAAAAGTGTACAGAAGGATCCTGTGTTAAGATGCAGAATCTGGAGCCTGCAGACACTTCTGCGCACCTCTACTCTGGCTCTTTGCAATGTTTGGTGATATGCACAACTACCTTCCTTTTACACTGGGTATTGAAACTGGATCTCTTTTGCTTGCTACTGCACATACTTAGTACAGACACCCATTTGTCCAAATCTGTGACCTCCAAGAACTAAATGGCTTCACAGTGTTTACTCACCTACCTGACTATCCACTTAGGTAAGGTTATCCGTCTACCCATATGATTAGTTTGGAATAGGAGAACCACCTATTTCCTCCCCCTCTACTAAAGCTGCAAACATTTAAGCTTTAGCAACATTCATTCTTTTCTTGCTCAACTTCCCAAATAATAACTCTTCCAGCTCTGAGCCCCAAAGCTTCAAGCAAGGTAATCAAGCTGGGTATGGTGGCATCATCTATAATCCAGCATGTGGGAGATGAAGGCAAGAGGATTACCATGAATTCAAGGCTAGTCTGGACTACATAAGGAGCCCCCAGGGGAAAAAAAGGAAAAATTTAAAAAGAGCAAATAAAAACATAGTAACCAGTGGGGGGGGGCATACTCTGCAGAATGTCCATCATCTGTCCACACTGAATAGCCACCAAGGGTATCTGAATAATATGTCAGTAATCCTAGATGTTGATGTGTCATATCCATCAACTCCAGAAGAAAACCCCTTTGGTTTCTTCTGATATTTGCTTGCTCCTGGGCTGTGAGATATCATATCCCAATAGATGTGACAGGCAGGCCAAGCTGGGGCCCTTTGCAGAAGGTGGCTGGGCACTAGATTGCTCTGTTCCTGACATTGTCAGAGCTTCTTTTCTTCAGCTTATAGCTTCTCCCATAGAACCAAACACTAGACACCAGGGTTGATTTTTATAATATCTGCTCTAATGCCAGGATGATGGTACACACCTGTAATCCCAGTACTTTGGAAGCTGAGGCAGGAGAATTGCTATGAGCTGAAAGTCAGCCTGGGTTACATAATGATTTCAAGTCCAACCTGAACAACACAGTGAGACCCTTTTTTAAAAAAAGAAAAGGAGGCCAGGAATTTAGCTCAGCAGCATAGCACCTGCCTGGCAAGTGCAAGGGCATGAGTTTGATCCCCAGTACCAAAAAAGGAAAAGAAACGAAACACACACACACACACACACACACACACACACACACACACAAACACAGAGTATCTGCTCTAATGCAAACTGATATGGGAACCTTCCTGCCTTTAAATTAGAGACTGGGGGCTGAGTGTACCTCATTAGTAAAGCACTTGCCCAGCCTTCACAAGGTGCTATGTTTGATCTGCAGCACCAACATGTATATACATGCATACATACATACATACATACATACATACATACATACATACTGTTGGAGGAGGCAGCTATTTTAGATTCTGTCATACTAATGATGGAGCTCAGGGCTTTAGCATACTAGGAAAGTGTTCTACAGCTATGCTGTATTCTCTTGGACCAAAATACACTAAATTCTCTGGGGAACAAATGCGTAAAATAAAAGTTACGTGAAGGCCAGGGATTTAGCTCAGCAGCTTAAGGGCCTGCCTGGCAAGTGTGAGGTTGTGAGTTTGATCCCTGGTACAAAAAATGTCATGTAATCTATGAATTATGATATATTTTATAATGTAGGCAAAAGCACAATGGTAAAGCTGCCCTTCATTTCAAGAAGCTTGTGCGAGTTTCTGCAGAATAAACATTATCTAAGTGACATATAGCAAGAACTTTAACTCTCCATAGTAAATACATGACTGTATTTCCAAGAGATGGGACACTTTTCAAATTCAGGGGTCTTGCACAAGGGCTAAGGAGACCCTTTCTCATGGCTGCAGCTCAGGCTCACATTTCACATGCTAGTCACACTGTGAGGAAGAGTACTGGGGACCAGTGTGTTGTTTTGACAAGTGAGGAATGGAAGCAACTTTTCTCACCAAACAGAAATATACTCTTGGGAAGTTTAGCAGAGAACCCAAAGCTGGTAACACCAGCACTCCACACTATATGATTCAGAGTACCACTGAGTATGGCTCCATGTGTAACCAACTTCCCACAGCAAATGCACCACAATGCCACACAACCGGAAGGAGAGCACTACAAAGACAAAGGTGAGTTGGAGATCCATGTTTTGAAACTTCACACAGCATTCTATGAGCTGATGAACGGACTCCAGTCTGAGTCATGCTGATAGTTGCATTGACTACTGAGCACCTCAAGTGTCAGCAGAGCATCAAATTCTTCCAGTAATTCTCAGAGAGCATGAGTTCAGCTGGTCAACATGTGCACTGAGTCCTGGGAACCCTCCTTCAGTCAATGTGATAGGCTAGTGGTTCAGCGGCAAGGAGCATGGCCTACAGCCAAGTTAGGGCTCATCACAAGAAGTACTGTATTTCTGAGAAAGTACCAAAGTGTTGAACTGTACTCTGTATTCACAGAACAGTTTTTTATTACATCAAGAATGCTCGAAGTAGCTGGATGTGGTTGTGCATGCCTGTAATTCCAGCACTTGAGAGGCTGAGGCAGGAGGATCATTGTGAGTTTGAGGTCAGCCTGAGCTACAAAGTGAGCTCAAAGCCAGCCTGAACTGCATAGTGAGACCTGTCTCAGAAAAACAAAAACAAAAAAAAAACAAAACAAAAAAACAAAACAAAACAAAACAATAATGCTCAAAGTATTAAACTGTACCCTGTATTCACAAAATACTTTTTTTCTTCAAATCAATTACAATTCAGGTTATCTGACAGATATCACAAAACTGCCCACCATAGTCAGATGACTACTTTAGAATTTTCCCTATGAACTTTCTACTATGGTTGAGAAATCACATATGCATCCCACATAGAACTATAAAGTACAGAGCAAAGACCCATTCTTAGACACCTTGAAACAGCCACAACAGATGTTTGGAGTAAGCAGCATAAACTTGAATCTCCTTGCTACCGAGAAATCTCCCTCCCTACCACCACACACACACACACACACACACACACACACACACACACACAAACCTGTAAACATGCATGCCTGGTGTGCAATTTAATCATGTGTTTGGGCAAATAATTCAAAGCCTGTCCTGAGGGTGCACACACACTTCTTGAGAGTTAGAAAGTCAATTTTTACAACAGGGAAACATTTTGGTTTTCTGTTTTTTGCTTTTATTGTGGTACTGGGGATTGAACCTAAGGCCTTAATGCATGCTAAGAGTACTACACTACCGAGCCACATCCCCAGCAAAATAGCCAAACATATTAGGAAAATTATTTCTTCTCTTCCATGAAACATAAACTTCAGAAGGCAATGGGGTGAATGATCAAGCTGTGCTGCTGTTGTTTTTATTACATTGAAATGAGCACGTGAAATAAAAGACACTGGCAAAATCTAGGCAACACTATTTCTTTAGCATGGTTTCGAGAGGGAAAATGACTAGCTTTAATATTAAGCTCCACAAAGCCAACTGCTCATTGCTTAAATTATTATAAAAGACTTTTACACAGTTCAGATTTTGTGGTTAAATGGTACTATAAAATTCTATTTACAGAGCACCAAAGATTGAGTATTTGTATAGAATGTTTCCATAACAGAATTTCACCTGCAATGGCATGTCATCACTGTTGAGCTGCTTAAAACAGTTACTATGGCCAAGTGCGGTAGCACATGCCTGTAATCCCACCACTTGGGCAACTAAATCAGGAGGACTGCTGTGAGTTCAGTCCAGCCTGAATTACAAAGTATGATTCTTGTCTCAAAAAATAAATGAATAAAATAAAAAACAAAAGACTCATTATAATATGAAAAACTTCATATATAAGTTAGCTATGAAATAAAAGACAGACAATAGAAGAAAAAAGTTATTGTAACTCAGCATGGAAAATATATCTAAAGGAATACTTCGACTTAGTACAATTGTGTTCCATCTTTTATATGTGTTTTGGCTTATAGTCTGGTATGTTTGATATATATATATATATAATATATATTGATATTGATATATATATCTTATATATATATATATTTCTTTTTAATAGTCTTATTTTTAATCTGTATACATGACAAGGGTTTATAAGAGAAATGCATGAATGGGATTCTGGCAAAATACAAGGATGGTGGAAAATAAAGAATAGAAATGTGTCATGGACATGTATCAACTCCCAAGAACCAACATGATTATTATGTACTGCAAACACATACCAATAGAAGTTTAAAAAAAAAAAGGCAGTCATGAATTCAGAGAAGACAACTAAAATGAGTGAGATTTCATAACTTTCCAGCAGAAAGGGTTCCTAGGGATTCGAGTGCAACGCTAGTGTCAGGGCCTTTGCACTCTGAGTTCCACACAGTACTGGCTTCACTGAGAAGTGGACACCTGATGTTTCCCATATACAAATTTATCCAAGAACCCACCAACTTTCACCTTTTCTCAAGACCAGTGTGCCCATCTTACCTTAGGCTTTCAAACTTTCCCTACTGTCAAGTTCAAATTGTACCTCTTAGACATTACATACTGTCTGATTTTGTTGCAGAAAGCTTTTTGATTGATATTTTATTAATCATCTCACTAGGAAAATGTCTCAACCTATCTAGTTCACTTATAACTCTAGTTTTGGGTGTGATCAGCTTACACAACCAATCCTACATCAGAGAAGTGTACATACTTCCCTGATATGTTGGTGCCTGTGCTCCCCTATGCAAAATCATTCGGAACAGTATATATTATTTTCAGAATCTATCTTTATGTGGGCCTAGGGATGGTATGTCAAGCCAGTACGCTCTCACTTATACTCCACTCCTCAGCCCCTTAAGATTTAGTAGAGGATTATAGTTCAATAATACACTGTAAAGTAGAGATCCAATCTCAGATAAAATGTAAAATTATATCACGGTAAATGCTTCTGGAGGACCACTTGTGTAAACAATAGAAGTCACCACAGTGACCTTAATTATAGCTTATTTAGGACTTGTGTCCAAGTTTTAAAACATATACATGCACATATATAATTCTATCAAACTGAGAAAAAGCCACACGATGCATGAACAACTGTAACAGTCATTTGACAGTTGAGAAAACTGAAGCCTAAGCTAAATAACTTTGTCAGACAGCTAACTAGAGAATTAACCAGGATTCAGCAGCCAAAGCTCAAAGGGCCAAGCCTAACTATTACCCATTCTATCATCTAGAGAGACAACTCTGCAAAGGAAGACTGAGAATACACATGTGAGTTCAGTCAAAGTTTCCAAATGTCCTCTGTTCTCCAGACATGATGGCTTAAAACAGGCTTTAGGTCAATGGAGGCAAACCTATGGCATGCATGTTGCAGCAAGCTCTTTGTACCACTGAAAGCTCTATCACTGCTTTAGGTTCATCTTTCAAAAGACAATGTATTTACAATAGCTAGAAATTACACTTAAAATCAGCTAAGAATGATGGTTAACTCAGAAAACTGTTTCATGAGATGGAGAAATAACAAAAAGCTTACTTTTTTTGAAGTTGATGATTTTTTTCATCCTTTCCTCCCAATTTGCTAAGTTGGAAGGCATCCTGAGATGAGTTTTCCGTTTCAGAAACAACAGCTACAAAAGAGAAGAAAAGCCCCCAAATTTAGAGTAAATTAACAGGGCAAAGTTTCATGTTTCACAAATAGGAAGAAGATTCTGCAGGTAGAGAGCTGAATCATTTCTGAAGTGTAAGCTTCCGAGCAAACACATATAAATGTTCAAGCGTATAAATTAGCATATAAGAGGGTTATTCATTCACGCCAAATGAATGTCCACTGCTCTGCTCTGGTTCACATGTGGGCAGACTGGGCTGTCTGGAGAATGCTCAGCCATGATTCCTTGTGGGCACTGGACACCTGTGGCAGGTACATAGGAAAAAGCTCACGCTCTCCCAATCCCAGCAGTTAGGACAGCTGCCTAAAACCGGCCCACCTTGTCTTGGTGATTCTTTGCCAGTTTGTCCAGGCAGACCCTTTTTCTTTTTGCCAAACAAACGACCAGTGGAGGACTTGATGCTCTTCTTCTTTGGGGCTTTGTGGAGCGCGTCCTGCCTGCTGTCACTGGTACTGGGATTGTTCACAGGACCTTCCTGGGAGCCTGTTGAGCTTCAAAGAAATAAAATGGATTTTTACCACCCTCTTCCCAGCTCCACAGTCCATTCACACGTACAAGAACAGTCTGCATTTTTAATATTCCTACCTTCAACTTCCTAAAAAACGTTTTGAGTCTCTTACACACAGTACAATATGCATTGTGATGCAGGGTCCCAGTAATGCTTCCACAGACCTGTGTCTGGAAAGCCAAGATTCTGATGTGCTCCCTGCTCAGAGCAGGCCTGTACTCTGGCCTGCCAAGGGAACACCCTCTGCAGGGGCCTTGCTCAGGCACTGAGGGATGCACTCAGTCAACAGGAAAGAAAACAAGGTTTCAGAAGCCTGACTGTAATTATAACTTATTTAGGAATTGTGTCCATGTTATAAAACATATACATGCACATATATAATTCTATTGAACTGAAAAACAGCCACATGATGTATGAACAACTGTAACTGCCATTTGACAGTTGAGAAAACTGAAGCACAGGATAAGTAACTTTGTCAGAGACACACAGCTAACTAGAGAATTAACCAGGATTCAGCGGCCAGAGCTCAAATGGCCAAGCCTAACTATTACCCATTCTATCATCCTGGGAGACAACTCTGAAAAGGTAGACTGAGAATACATGTGTGAATTCAGTCAAGATTTCCAAATGTCCTCTGTTCACCAGACATGATGGCTTAAAACAGGCTTTAGGTCAATGGAGGCAAACCTATGGTGTGCATGCTGCAGCAAGCTCTTTGTATCACTGGAAGCTCTATCACTGCTTTAGATTCATCTTTCAAAAGACAATGTACTTACATAGCTAGAAATTACACTTACAATCAGCTAAGAATGACTGTTAACTCAGAAAACTGTTTCATGAGATGGAGAAATAACAAAAAGCTTACTGTTTTTGAAGTTGACGATTTTTTTCATCCTTTCCTCCCAATTTGCTAAGTTGGAAGGCATCCTGAGATGAGTTTTCGGCTTCAGAAACAACAGCTACAAAAAAGAAGAAAATTCCCCAAAGTTAGAGTAAATTAACATGGCAAAGTTATATGTTTCACAAATAGGAAGAAGATTCTGCAGGTAGAGAGCTGAATAATTTCCGAAGGGTAAGCTTCCGAGCAAACACATATAAATGTTCAAGCGTATAAATTAGCATATAAGAGGGTTATTCATTCACGCCAAATGAATGTCCACTGCTCGGCTCTGGTTCACATGTGGGCAGACTGGGCTGTCTGGAGAATGCTCAGCCATGATTCCTTGTGGGCACTGGACACCTGTGGCAGGTACATAGGAAAAAGCGCATGCTCTCCCAATCCCAGCAGTTAGGACAGCTGCCTAAAACCGGCCCACCTTGTCTTGGTGATTCTTTGCCAGTTTGTCCAGGCAGACCCTTTTCCTTTTTGGCAAACAAACGACCAGTGGAGGACTTGATGCTCTTCTTCTTTAGAGCTTTGTGGAGTGGGTCCTCCCTGCTGTCACTGCTGCTGGGAACGCTCACAGGACCATCCTGGGAGCCTATTGAGCTTGAAGGAAAGAAAATGGACTTTTACCACCCTCTTCACAGCTCCACAGTCCATTCACATGTACAAGAAAGGTGTGCATTTTTAATATTCCTACCTTCAACTTCCTAAAGAATTTTTCAACTCTCTTACACACAATACAATATTCATTGTGATTCAGGGTCCCAGTAATGCTTCCACAGACCAGTGTCTGGAAAGCCAAGATTCTGATGTGCTCCCTGCTCAGAGCAGGCCTGTACTCTAGCCTGCCTGGTTTGGACACATAAGGGAACACCCTCTGCAGGGGCCTTGCTCAGCCAGTGAGGGTTCCACTCAGTCAACAGGAAAGAGAACAAGGTCTCAGAATCCTCACTGTAATTGTAACATATTTAGGACCTGTGTCCATGTTTTAAAACATATACGTGCACATATATAATTCTATTGAACTGAAAAAAAAACACATGATGTATGAACAACTGTAACTGCCATTTGACAGTTTAGAGAACTGAAGCACAAGCTAAGTAACTTTGTCAGAGACACACAGCTAACTAGAGAATTAACCAGGATTCAGCGGCCAGAGCTCAAATGTCTAAGCCTAACTCTTAACCACTCTGTCCACTAGGGAGACAACTCTGCAAAGGGAGACTGAGAATAAATGTGTGAGTTAAGTCAAAATTTCCAAATGTCCTTGGTTCTCCAGACATGATGGCTTAAAACAGCCTTTAGGTCAATGGAGGCAAACCTATGGCGTGCATGCTGCAGCAAGCTCTTTGTATCACTGAAAGCTCTATCACTGCTTTAGATTCATCTTTCAAAAGACAATGTATTTACATAGCTAGAAATTACACTTAAAATCAGCTAAGAATGACTGTTAACTCAGAAAACTGTTTCATGAGATGGAGAAATAACAAAAAGCTTACTGTTTTTGAAGTTGATGATTTTTTTCATCCTTTCCTCCCAGTTTGCTAAGTTGGAAGGCATCCTGAGATGAGTTTTCTGTTTCAGAAACAACAGCTACAAAAAAGAAGAAAAGCCCCCAAATTTAGAGTAAATTAACAGGGCAAAGTTATATGTTTCACAAATAGGAAGAAGATTCTGCAGGTAGAGAGCTGAATCATTTCTGAAGGGTAAGCTTCCGAGCAAACACATATAAATCTTCAAGAGTATAAATTAGCACATAAGAGGGTTATTCATTCAAGCCAAATGAATTTCCACTGCTCTGCTTTGTTTCACATGTGGGCAAACTGGGCTGTCAGAAGAACGCTCAGCCATGACTCCTCATGGGCACTGGACACCTGCAGCAGGCACATAGGAAAAATCTCAGGCTCTCCCAATCCCAGCAGTTAGGACAGCTGCCTAAAACCGGCCCACCTTGTCTTGGTGATTCTCTGCCAGTTTGTCCAGGCAGAACCTTGTTCTTTTTGCCAAACAAACGACCAGTGGAGGACTTGATGCTCTTCTTCTTTGGGGCTTTGTGGAGCGCGTCCTGCCTGCTGTCACTGGTACTGGGATTGTTCACAGGACCTTCCTGGGAGCCTGTTGAGCTTCAAAGAAATAAAATGGATTTTTACCACCCTCTTCCCAGCTCCACAGTCCATTCACACGTACAAGAACAGTCTGCATTTTTAATATTCCTACCTTCAACTTCCTAAAAAACGTTTCGAGTCTCTTACACACAGTACAATATGCATTGTGATGCAGGGTCCCAATAATGCTTCCACAGACCTGTGTCTGGAAAGCCAAGATTCTGATGTGCTCCCTGCTCAGAGCAGGCCTGTACTCTAGCCTGCCTTGTTTGGACACATAAGGGAACACCCTCTGCAGGGGCCTTGCTCAGGCACTGAGGGATGCACTCAGTCAACAGGAAAGAAAACAAGGTTTCAGAAGCCTGACTGTAATTGTAACTTATTTAGGAATTGTGTCCATGTTATAAAACATATACATGCACATATATAATTCTATTGAACTGAAAAACAGCCACATGATGTATGAACAACTGTAACTGCCATTTGACAGTTGAGAAAACTGAAGCACAGGATAAGTAACTTTGTCAGAGACACACAGCTAACTAGAGAATTAACCAGGATTCAGCGGCCAGAGCTCAAATGGCCAAGCCTAACTATTACCCATTCTATTATCCTGGGAGAACACTCTGAAAAGGTAGACTGAGAATACATGTGTGAATTCAGTCAAGACTTCCAAATGTCCTCTGTTTTCCAGACATGATGGCTTAAAACAGGCTTTAGGTCAATGGAGGCAAACCTATGGCGTGCATGCTGCAGCAAGCTCTTTGTATCACTGAAAGCTCTATCACTGCTTTAGGTTCATCTTTCAAAAGACAATGTATTTACATAGCTAGAAATTACACTTAAAATCAGCTAAGAATGACTGTTAACTCAGAAAAATGTTTCATGAGATGGAGAAATAACAAAAAGCTTACTGTTTTTGAAGTTGACGATTTTTTTCATCCTTTCCTCCCAATTTGCTAAGTTGGAAGGCATCCTGAGATGAGTTTTCTGTTTCAGAAACAACAGCTACAAAAAAGAAGAAAATTCACCAAATTTAGAGTAAATTAACATGGCAAAGTTATATGTTTCACAAATAGGAAGAAGATTCTGCAGGTAGAGAGCTGAATCATTTCTGAAGTGTAAGCTTCTGAGCAAACACATATAAATGTTCAAGCATATAAATTAGCATATGAGAGGGTTATTCATTCAAGCCAAATGAATGTCCACTGCTCTGCTTTGTTTTACATGTGGGCAAACTGGGCTGTCAGAAGAACGCTCAGCCATGACTCCTCGTGGGCACTGGACACCTGCAGCAGGCACTTAGGAAAAATCTCAGGCTCTCCCAATCCCAGCAGTTAGGACAGCTGCCTAAAACCGGCCCACCTTGTCTTGGTGATTCTTTGCCAGTTTGTCCAGGCAGAACCTTGTTCTTTTTGCCAAACAAACGACCAGTGGAGGACTTGATGCTCTTCTTCTTTGGGGCTTTGTGGAGCGCGTCCTGCCTGCTGTCACTGGTACTGGGATTGTTCACAGGACCTTCCTGGGAGCCTGTTGAGCTTCAAAGAAATAAAATGGATTTTTACCACCCTCTTCCCAGCTCCACAGTCCATTCACACGTACAAGAACAGTCTGCATTTTTAATATTCCTACCTTCAACTTCCTAAAAAACGTTTCGAGTCTCTTACACACAGTACAATATGCATTGTGATGCAGGGTCCCAGTAATGCTTCCACAGACCTGTGTCTGGAAAGCCAAGATTCTGATGTGCTCCCTGCTCAGAGCAGGCCTGTACTCTAGCCTGCCTGGTTTGGACACATAAGGGAACATCCTCTGCAGGGGCCTTGCTCAGGCACTGAGGGATGCACTCAGTCAACAGGAAAGAAAACAAGGTCTCAGAAGCCTGACTGTAATTGTAACTTATTTAGGAATTGTGTCCATGTTATAAAATATATACATGCACATATATAATTCTATTGAACTGAAAAACAGCCACATGATGTATGAACAACTGTAACTGCCATTTGACAGTTGGGAAAACTGAAGCACAGGATAAGTAACTTTGTCAGAGACACACAGCTAACTAGAGAATTAACCAGGATTCAGCAGCCAGAGCTCAAATGGCCAAGCCTAACTATTACCCATTCTATTATCCTGGGAGAACACTCTGAAAAGGTAGACTGAGAATACATGTGTGAATTCAGTCAAGACTTCCAAATGTCCTCTGTTCTCCAGACATGATGGCTTAAAACAGGCTTTAGGTCAGTGGAGGCAAACCTATGGCGTGCATGCTGCAGCAAGCTCTTTGTATCACTGAAAGCTCTATCACTGCTTTAGGTTCATCTTTCAAAAGACAATGTATTTACATAGCTAGAAATTACACTTACAATCAGCTAAGAATGACTGTTAACTCAGAAAAATGTTTCATGAGATGGAGAAATAACAAAAAGCTTACTGTTTTTAAAGTTGATGATTTTTTTCATCCTTTCCTCCCAATTTGCTAAGTTGGAAGGCATCCTGAGATGAGTTTTCTGTTTCAGAAACAACAGCTACAAAAAAGAAGAAAATTCACCAAATTTAGAGTAAATTAACATGGCAAAGTTATATGTTTCACAAATAGGAAGAAGATTCAGCAGGTAGAGAGCTGAATCATTTCTGAAGTGTAAGCTTCTGAGCAAACACATATAAATGTTCAAGCGTATAAATTAGCATATAAGAGGGTTATTCATTCAAGCCAAATGAATGTCCACTGCTCTGCTTTGTTTCACATGTGGGCAAACTGGGCTGTCAGAAGAACGCTCAGCCATGACTCCTCGTGGGCACTGGACACCTGCAGCAGGCACATAGAAAAAATCTCAGGCTCTCCCAATTCCAGCAGTTAGGACAGCTGCCTAAAACCGGCCCACCTTGTCTTGGTGATTCTTTGCCAGTTTGTCCAGGCAGAACCTTTTTCTTTTTGCCAAACAAACGACCAGTGGAGGACTTGATGCTCTTCTTCTTTGGGGCTTTGTGGAGCGCGTCCTGCCTGCTGTCACTGGTACTGGGATTGTTCACAGGACCTTCCTGGGAGCCTGTTGAGCTTCAAAGAAATAAAATGGATTTTTACCACCCTCTTCCCAGCTCCACAGTCCAGTCACACGTACAAGAACAGTCTGCATTTTTAATATTCCTACCTTCAACTTCCTAAAAAACGTTTCGAGTCTCTTACACACAGTACAATATGCATTGTGATGCAGGGTCCCAGTAATGCTTCCACAGACCTGTGTCTGGAAAGCCAAGATTCTGATGTGCTCCCTGCTCAGAGCAGGCCTATACTCTAGCCTGCCTGGTTTGGACACATAAGGGAACACCCTCTGCAGGGGCCTTGCTCAGGCACTGAGGGATGCACTCGGTCAACAGGAAAGAAAACAAGGTCTCAGAAGCCTGACTGTAATTGTAACTTATTTAGGAATTGTGTCCATGTTATAAAACATATACATGCACATATATAATTCTATTGAACTGAAAAACAGCCACATGATGTATGAACAACTGTAACTGCCATTTGACAGTTGAGAAAACTGAAGCACAGGATAAGTAACTTTGTCAGAGACACACAGCTAACTAGAGAATTAACCAGGATTCAGCGGCCAGAGCTCAAATGGCCAAGCCTAACTATTACCCATTCTATCATCCTGGGAGACAACTCTGAAAAGGTAGACTGAGAATACATGTGTGAATTCAGTCAAGATTTCCAAATGTCCTCTGTTCACCAGACATGATGGCTTAAAACAGGCTTTAGGTCAATGGAGGCAAACCTATGGTGTGCATGCTGCAGCAAGCTCTTTGTATCACTGGAAGCTCTATCACTGCTTTAGATTCATCTTTCAAAAGACAATGTATTTACATAGCTAGAAATTACACTTAAAATCAGCTAAGAATGACTGTTAACTCAGAAAAATGTTTCATGAGATGGAGAAATAACAAAAAGCTTACTGTTTTTGAAGTTGATGATTTTTTTCATCCTTTCCTCCCAATTTGCTAAGTTGGAAGGCATCCTGAGATGAGTTTTCTGTTTCAGAAACAACAGCTACAAAAAAGAAGAAAATTCACCAAATTTAGAGTAAATTAACATGGCAAAGTTATATGTTTCACAAATAGGAAGAAGATTCTGCAGGTAGAGAGCTGAATCATTTCTGAAGTGTAAGCTTCCGAGCAAACACATATAAATGTTCAAGCGTATAAATTAGCATATAAGAGGGTTATTCATTCACGCCAAATGAATGTCCACTGCTCTGCTCTGGTTCACATGTGGGCAGACTGGGCTGTCTGGAGAATGCTCAGCCATGATTCCTCATGGGCACTGGACACCTGTGACAGCTACATAGGAAAAAGCTCATGCTCTCCCAATCCCAGCAGTTAGGACAGCTGCCTAAAACCGGCCCACCTTGTCTTGGTGATTCTTTGCCAGTTTGTCCAGGTGGACCCTTTTTCTTTTTGCCAAACAAACGACCAGTGGAGGACTTGATGCTCTTCTTCTTTGGGGCTTTGTGGAGCGCGTCCTGCCTGCTGTCACTGGTACTGGGATTGTTCACAGGACCTTCCTGGGAGCCTGTCGAGCTTCAAAGAAATAAAATGGATTTTTACCACCCTCTTCCCAGCTCCACAGTCCATTCACACGTACAAGAACAGTCTGCATTTTTAATATTCCTACCTTCAACTTCCTAAAAAACGTTTCGAGTCTCTTACACACAGTACAATATTCATTGTGATTCAGGGTCCCAGTAATGCTTCCACAGACCAGTGTCTGGAAAGCCAAGATTCTGATGTGCTCCCTGCTCAGAGCAGGCCTGTACTCTAGCCTGCCTGGTTTGGACACATAAGGGAACACCCTCTGCAGGGGCCTTGCTCAGCCAGTGAGGGTTCCACTCAGTCAACAGGAAAGAGAACAAGGTCTCAGAATCCTCACTGTAATTGTAACATATTTAGGACCTGTGTCCATGTTTTAAAACATATACATGCATATATATAATTCTATTGAACTGAAAAAAAACCACATGATGTATGAACAACTGTAACAGTCATTTGACAGTTGAGAAAACTGAAGCACAAGCTAAGTAACTTTGTCAGAGACACACAGCTAACTAGAGAATTAACCAGGATTCAGCGGCCAGAGCTCAAATGGCCAAGCCTAACTATTACCCATTCTATCATCCTGGGAGACAACTCTGAAAAGGTAGACTGAGAATACATGTGTGAGTTCAGTCAAAATTTCCAAATGTCCTCTGTTCTCCAGACACGATGGCTTAAAACAGGCTTTAGGTCAGTGGAGGCAAACCTATGGCGTGCATGCTGCAGCAAGCTCTTTGTATCACTGAAAGCTCTATCACTGCTTTAGGTTCATCTTTCAAAAGACAATGTATTTACATAGCTAGAAATTACACTTAAAATCAGCTAAGAATGACTGTTAACTCAGAAACCTGTTTCATGAGATGGAGAAATAACAAAAAGCTTACTTTTTTTGAAATTTTTGATTTTTTTCAGCCTTTCCTCCCAATTTGCTAAGTCGGAACGCATCCTGAGATGAGGTTTCTGTTTCAGAAAGAACAGCTATTAAAAAATCAGAAAAGCCCCCAAATTAACATGGCAAAATTATATGTTTCACAAATAGGTTGAAGGTTCTGCAGGTAGAGAGCTGAATAATTTCTGAAGGGTAAGCTTCCAAGCAAACACATACAAATGTTCAAGAGTGTAAAGTAGCACTTATGAGGGTTATTCATTCACGCCAAATGAATGTCCACTGCTCTGCTTTGGTTCACACATGGGCAGACTGAGAAAGCAGACTGGGCTTTTCTGGAGAACCCTCAGCCATGACTCCACGTGGGCACTGCGCACCTGCGGCAGGCACACAGGACAAAGTTCACGTTCTCCCATTCCCAGCAGTTAGGACAGCTGCCGAAACCCCACCCACCTTGTCCTGGTGATTCTTTGCCAGTTTGTCCAGGCCGACCCTTTTCCTTTTTGCCAAACAAACGACCAATGGAGGACTTGATGCCCTTCTTCTTTGGGGCTTTGTGGGGCGAGTCCTGCCTGCTGTCACTGCTACTGGGATTGCTCACAGGACCATCCTGGGCACTTTTTGATCTTGAAGGAAAGAAAATGGACTTTTACCACATGCCCTCTTTAGAACTCCACAGTCCACTCACATGTACCAAAACAGTCTGCATTTTTAATATTCCTACTTCAACTCCCTGAAGATCCTTTCCAGTCTCTTACCCACAGCACACTATGCATAGCAATGCAGGGTCCCAGTAATGCTTCCACAGACCTATGTCTGGAAAGCCAAGATTCTGATGTTGTTCCCTGCTCAGAGGAGGCCTGTACTCTAGCCTGCCTGGTTTGGACATCTAAGGGAACACCCTCTGCAGGGGCCTTGCTCAGCCAGTGAGGTTTACACTCAGCCCTCAGGAAAGAGAACAAGGTCTCAGAAGCCAGAACTGGAATTCCACCTTCCCTCTCAGCAGCTCCTGCAGGCTGGTTCCTTGGATCCTGCTCTCCTGCAAAGTGAGAGCTGTACTATCTCTCAGGACACTGTGGAGACCAATGTGCCTGCTTGATCATACTGCCTGGTATGGAACAAAAGCTTCTAAGAGGAAGTGTGGAAAACAACAGTCTATAAGTAACCAAGCCTTCATGGCCTCCTGATGGAACATGCTTCCTAAAGGGATAGGGACAATGTGGGACTCTCAAGAGCTTAGAAGACCCAGAGTGTGGGAGGGTACCTGAGAGGCACCGATTGTCCACAGAATAGCACGATCCAGAACCTGCCACATCCGTGTGGCAAATTCTTCACCAGGAATAGAAAGAAAGTTCTTAAAAGAAGTGAGTGTGTGGGATCTGAAGAAATGGAGCTTTTCTCTCAAGTGCTAATTTCAAATAATTCCTATTCTTTCTAAACTTTGCCCAAACAGATGGCCTTTTCCACTGGATGTCACTACAGCCGCAGAACAGGAGAACACATTCTAGGTCTAACGTTTAAATAATCACAACCAAATGAGCTTGCTGAGAATTCTTTAAAAACTTGGTTTTTCTCACAGGAAAAGATTAATAGATGTTCTTAAAAACTAAGACAAGCAGGTTTCTCAGGGGTCTGGTGGCCTACGAGACCTGCTCCTTACTTTTGCATGTCCCTGATGTCCTCGTGGCTGACTATTTGCAATGCCCCTGTGTGCAGCCTGTCTAGCTGAAGGGACTTCGGAGAGGAGAGAGGGGAAGTTCCACATTTTATCGTTGTCTTGTCATCTCGTTCTTCTTCTCTGCAAGCTAGCAACTGAGGAGTGAAAAAGCAACATCAGCTAACAGTACATTATAAGAAAACACATCACATAGGCTTTAAATAACATAAACTGACTCAAAACCTATTAGCTAAACTTTCTACCTGTCCTGAGAAGTCTCATTTTAATTGAATGCCAACCTGAAGGCCTGTTTGTCTGGGGGAAATGGACCACATAGCAGAGAGAGAGCAGGGCAGGTTGACCTATAGCCTTCCTTCATGGAAGCCCCGGGAAGCCCAGGGACAGCATCACCCCCCCTTCAAGATTCTGTTCTCCGTACAACCTCAGGTACCTCTGAGGATAGTTACTGAGGGACAGTGAAGTCCTAAACGAAGCCTGTTCACTGCACTTTATCACTTCAGGTTAACAAAGTTACTCTCATTACTGAAGAGCCTGTGACACATATCTTCAGTTACTGATGTCACTCAAAGGAACACTAGTGGGGGCCGAAGCCTCAGGGAAACTGTCAATACTTTTACCTCTAGCAAGAAACAAGACAAGGACAGCATGAGCGAAGACCCAAATATGCATGTGTGTGGCTTCTGTTTCTCACTGTGTGGACCAAATGTTATGAGCAGAAGCATTTGCATGCAGCCTAAAACCCTACTTCCATGTGGCTTCATAAAATAATCCTGGGTTTTGGGTTTGCATATTATCTTTTTTTGAAGTCCTGCAATGTCTCCAATGTTTTGCTTTTATTGGTTTTGTTCTTTAATGTTTTCAGTTTTATTATAACTGATGATATAGGCAATTCTTTTTAAGATAGCAAGAGGCATTATGGTACCCAATGATCATCACTTTGTCTTCCGTTTTTATATTATGTACTATATCCATTCTTTTGATTTGACTGACTCTGTTTTGTTATGTCACATTGGATTTTATTCTCTTCAAATAGAAAGTAATAAGAACTGTGGGAGTAATAAAACCCAAAATGTATAATTGTCATAGTAAAAAAGAGAGGAAAAGAAAGTGCTCTAAAGGATATAATTGCATGTATATTTAAGTGTATAAGATAGATAACCATATTGCTAAGTTTTTGTGGGATCATTGAACAGAATTGTTTGTAGTCTCACAGTTTGAATGTCTACTTTATATGCTTTAATTTTGTAATCTGAACGACCATTTCTAAGATGACAGTATGTAATCTATTAACTAGTGACTTCCTACTGTTTTTTTTTTTTTTGAAATTCTGTATCACTTGTATCCTTTTTCTGTTTTTTTTTTTTTTCTTTTTCTCCTTAAATAAAAAAATAATAATAATCCTGGGTATATTATTAAAAGAGGGTCACGCAGACCCTGGGATTTCTTTTAGGGGATGGCCCATGAGTATGCCTATGTGTTGAAGAAGGCAGGACTGTGGAAATAGTGCATATGTGAACTCTTTCAGGGTCTGGTTAGGCCCTGTTTAGAAGGTTGTTATTTTCGGGTTTTGAAGCAGGACTAGATTTCATGAAACATTCATGGTGAACAACAAGTGGTGAATAGTTAATTTATTTATCTGTACAATGGTATAAAGGATACAGATTCCATTATAGTCCTGTAGCAGCTCACTGAAGACCACCTAGACTAGTGTGAGCTGAGAGCATTTAGGATATAATTTTTTTTTTGTCTTTTTCCTTTTTATTGGTGCTGGGGATCGAACTCACGACTGCCTGCTTACAAGGCAGGCGTTTATGCTGCTGAGCTAAACTTCCAGCCCGCTAGGATATAATCTTAACAGATAAACAGATAAATTCTGTATCTTTCTCTCTTTTTTTTGAGATAAGGTTTCATTATACAGTTCTGGCTGGCCATGAACTCACATGATAGCCCAGGCTGGCTTCAAACTCCAGCAGTCCTCCCTTATCAGCCTCCTGAGTGCTGGGATTACAGGCATATATCACCTTGTCTGGCTCTCATTTCTAATTGTAGTAACAAAACAAAAGACTGTCGGGGGCTGGGGTAACCAGAGCTCACTTACTTAGCTTGTTTGAGGCCCTGTGTTTAACCGCCAGCAATCTCATCTCTAAAAAAGTCCATCAAGCTTGAAATCAACAACATGAATCATAAAAGTTCAAAAAAACTTTTTGGGAGGGAAAAAGAAATCAAACTTAGGACATTGTTTGCCAGGCATCATTTAAATTTCACGTTAAAATAATCATTTGTTAAAATAGAAAAGAAAAAAGAAGAGGTAAGGCACTATACGTATGCTCCACCCACAAAAAGAGATTCTTGCACCAAGACTCCCCTACACTAGCCCCTGCTCTGCCCAGAGCCTTCCAGGCTCACTGAACCAGGTCTTCATTCTGCCTCTGTTCTCTTGTGGGAGGAAAGCACAAGGCTAGGGCCCACTGCCTTGTCTCAGACATGTCTACAAGTGCCAAGAAGTCACCTTAGTCTGCCCAGTAAAACTGAAATGAAGAAGTAACCATCCCATATCGCTCTTTGTCTGGCCCATATTTGCTGTCCTTAGACTCACTGCTAGGCTAATCTTCACAGCCAGCCCAGAGCAAGTCTTCTCAAAGTCACCAGGCTGCATGCTGAGGAGAGATGACTAGTGAACAAGAGGAGGCCACAGTGTCTGAGTCTAAGTCAACAGACTGCTTCCTTTGCTGAGAAATTCTTACTGCCAAAACCAAAATATCCAAACCACACTGAAGTCCACTGAACAGAGGTAAGCTCTGAGGCCGGCTGCTGGTGAAAGCGCGGCATCTCACTTTGGGCAGGCACAGATCAGGGCCATTCCAAGCAGCACTACTGTGTGGATCACTACCTCACTTACAAGAGAGCAAGCCATGGTTCCACTGGGCCAAGGAACAGCTCCCAGGCCAGGAACTAATCAGCAACAGAGTGAGGATCTGTACCCGTGTCCTTAGTAAATTTCCCTTCTGCTCAGCCACATAGAGAAGCTCACACACAGCTGCTGAGGACAATCACTACTTGGCACCTGCAGCAGCACTGCCCCACAAGTGTACCACCAGGAAGGCAGGAAGCATGAAGCGGGCATGGCACAGGGCCAGAGGCAGCAGGCATTAGGGGGAGCTTCTAGATGGACAGAAAGAAAACCCTACAATCCCCACTGCTCCCAGGGTACTGCTTTTACTTTCAAGTTTTACTCTGAGAGGGAGACTCCCAGCAGATCAGAGCATCTTGACAAATCTAGGCCCAAGGGAGAAATGGTCCTGGTTTTGAAATCAAAACACACTTAACTCCTACCTGCTCTGCACATCATGTGATCTAAATTTCAGTTTCCACATCTGTAATTGGGGGCAAGCACAGCAACTGGTTTCTCACAGGGATGTGTTTGTGGACTAAATATAGCAAAAAAATGCCCAAGCACTGAGTTTGGCACCTGGCAGAGAGCAGTGCTTACTAAGTTCTAGCCTTCCATATCAGAAAAAACTAGTTTTCCTCAATCTAAAGCCTATGGCTCTGCTTCAATCATTCCGTCCTTTCAAATCCTAAATTCTGTCTATTATACACATGCATGCAATGGTTAGAGGCAAAAGCACTGAGTGAAGCAAACACTGACATCTGTCCCCATGTTCCATGGATGGCTGATTGCCAAGAGAACAGTAACTTGTGATGTGGCAGGTCAGTTTAAACATTTCCAATGAAACATCACTTATTCATTGCAATATATTGACAACATTACACTTATTTGTGACATACTATACTCTTCCATGCATTAGGGAGATACAAAGCTATGCTCACTTACTGGAAAATTTACCTTTCTATGATGTTTCCTTAAGTTGCTAGGCTAACAAGACGCATGCAAAGAAATAGACACCAGATTTATGACACGATTTAAAGCTAAAAATTCAAGGATCTACTCAGGCAAATATATTACAATATGAAGGACAAGACAGAAATAAGAGAGACAGGATTTAGAGAAAATATAACTGGAAATCAAATAATCTTTTATCACAAATTTAAATCTAAGTTATCCAAGATTTACTAGAAAACACTATAAATTACTACTCAAAGAGCACATTCTATTTGAACACATGCGATTTAAAGCAAGACACTGTATAGAACAAAGGGCCCTGATAACCACCTACTCTCTAATATTCCCATGATGACAAGGATGTTACAGCAACATCTATTATAAAACTGAAGAGCCAGGCATGGTGGTGCAGACTTGTAATCCCCGCATTTGTGAAGCTAAGCCTGGAGAACTGCCAACCTGCACTACATGAGTTCAAAGCCAGCCTGAACTGCATGGTGTCATCCTGTCTCAGAAAAACACAAAAAACTGAACAAACTTATTTTTAGTTAATCATTTTTTGTGCAATGCAGTAAAATCTTCACCTAGAATATGATTTACAACTTCCTAAAATATATCATTTATCCCTCGTGCAGTGGCATACACATGAAATCACAGCACTCTGGTAGGCTGAGGCAGGAAGGCTGCCAAGTTTGAGCTCATCTTGGTGATTTAGCACGATCCTGTCTCACAATAAAAAATAATACTGAAAAAAAAAAAGGGTCATGTGTGTATCTCAGTGCACAGGCCTAGATTCCATCCGAGATACTGTGGAATACAAAGGAGTGGAATGGAATGGAAAAAAAAAAAGAAAGAAAGCTAGGCATCCTAAAATACGTAACAATAAAAGCTAGCACAGTACTAGATAGGAGGCATTTTAATTAAAAAGTAGTCCATTAAAGACTATAGCATATGCCCTATAAGTTGATGAGATTTAGAATTCTGATTATAATCAATAAAATCTGATTCGTATTGTCTGTATAAAGTTCCCATAAATTTTACACTCAGCAGTGGCCCCTCCCCTTGCTCCTGCAGTATGCAGGGTTGAATCCAGCTGGGCCACTCAACAAACTACACTGCCAGCCACGTTTATATTTTTATTTTGACATAGCACATTGCTAAACTTCTCATGCTGGCCTCAGACTTAAAATCCTCCTTCTTAGCTTCCCCAGTAGCTGGCATTACAGGCATGTGCCACTGCAGTGAGCCCAGATTATTTTTTAACCTAGGAAATACTTCACTCATGAATCATGCAGATCCTGTACAATCTAAGGAAAAACATTCAACCAATTATATCTTGCTTGTAACCACATTGACAAATTATATATTAAATATAATTGATCACTACTGAGCAAAATACATTTTTAATGACAAAAACCCCAAGCCCCACTAATCAGTCATAATCCAGCTCAGACTCACACGTGCTTGCCTGGTTAGCTGTGCAGAGCCATCACAGAATGGGGAGGGGCTGAGAGGGGAGCTTCATGGACAAACTACAAATTGATAGGGACCTGAGGCCTGGATTAGAATTGAATCTGGAGATGGTTAAAATAAAACAAACACAAGGGTGGCATAAGAAATCAAAACCAACAATGGAAGCACACAGACCGTCAGCCAGCATGCTGAATTAGAGAACCAGGAAGAAAGAGTTTTCCTCCGTGGTTGTGTGTGGTACTGGGAATAGAAGGCAGGGGTACTCTAACACTGAGCTATGGTCCCATATTTTTTTCCTTTTAATTTCAAAACAAGGTCTTGCTAAATTGGGCAGCCTACCCTTGAACTTATGATTGTCTGCCTCAGTCTCCTGGGTAGCTAGAAAGATAGGGTTCACCCACTATGCTTGGGATACTCAGCTCTTTTTGAGTCAGTGTCTTCCTAAATTGCCCAGGCTGACCTTAAACTGGCAAACCTCCCACTTCAGTCCACAAGTAGCTGGGATTACAGATGTGTTGCTGCACTTCTTTTACAAATACTGGAAAGAAGGACACAACTGATAAATGAGATTGTCAAAAAGATGAAAATACAATGCCAGGCTTGGTGCCACATGTCTGTAATCCCAGCATGTGAGAGGCTGAGGCAGGAGAACTGCCATGAGTTCAAGGCCAGCTTGAATTACACCACAAGATCCTTTTTTCAAAAAACCAAACACTAATAAATAAAATAAGTTTGAAAAGAAGAAAAAGGGTCAGGGATATAGCTCCATGGCATAGCACTTGCCTGTCAAGCAGAACATCATGAGTTCAATTCATAGTACCAAAAGAAAAGAAAATGGTTTGGTGAGTGGTTTGGTGCTTGCCTAGTATGTGAAAAACCCTAGGTTCAAACCCAATATGTCCAAAAAAAAAAAAAAACAGGAAAAGAAAAGAAAAATATTGCTCAGTTAGTTAACAGTATAAATTATAAATACATCCAAATGTCACAAAACAGACTGCTGACACTGAACATTCCACTAAAATGACTTGCTTAATTTGATTATATTCTGGCTAAGAATGCCACTAAAAAGTAAAATGTATAGCAAGAGAAATAAAACCAAAGATACAAGTACAGGTGCAAAGTAGAATGTTGTAAATACAATTTCACATGAAATGAGATCTCATAGGCAAGATAAGCACAAAGCCTAAACTACCCAAAAACTATTCACACATTAGAGCTGATGTAACATCCAAAATTCAATACCATACCTCTGTGCCTGAGGAAAAATATGAAAAAATTAGAAGACACCTGATAATGCTCCCTTTGCCACAGTCCCAGAGAATACTCACATCTCTTTAGCGAACTCAAAGCACAACTAGTACTGAAAATCCTTGTTTAAGGAGTGCATGTACTTGAGAAGCTGAACATAAAGAAGAACACATGATGACAGCCAAGAAGCTGCAAAGATGAAGAATCCACATGAGGGTGGAGGACAAACTCCCATAAACTAAGTGGGAAAAGCTGGGCAAGTTCTCCTCTACCTTTTTAAAAGACCACAGAAAAGGAGAAATTTCTCAACCAGGGGGAGGCGGTATGTCACGATCTGACAGCAATACTGTGTTGTATTATTCATATTTATACTCATTCAACAGTGCAAATGCTGAAAATAACCGACCAAGGAAAGGACAAAAAAAAAAAAAGGAATCATTATCCTTAACACTCCAAGCACTCAACATTATGACAACCCTGTAATTTTTATCACTTATTTCATGAACATCTCATTCCAATTTCTTGTTCATCTCTTCAGACTTGATGAGATCCTTTCTTGCTGTGTCAAGATTTTCTTGCAGCTCTGACACATGGCTGGAAAGTGCAGCCAGGAGCTCCTTCATCTGACTCTGCTCTTTTGAATGTTTGTGTATGACTTCTTGGAGCACAATTATTTTGGCAAGGTCTTCCTCATGGCTTAAGGAGCCAGCAGAAGATCTCTGATGGGTAAAATGGACACTCTTAAATAACCTTAGTGTACTACCAAATAAAATACTTTTGAACATAGGGACTATCAAAATGGATTTATGCCATCTGTTGGATGATAGGACTCTCAACAATCACTTTAGCTGGAAGCAGGCCATTCCAGCAACAGCATCCAAACAGCATCACACACGAACCACAAAATATAAGAAATCAGCAACAGAACAAAGAGAGATCTCAAGGACTTACCTTTCCATTAGTGCTTGGTGTTTCTTCTTGTTCATGGTCAAGCACTCCATCTCTTGGTGATTTTTTCTCATTATTCTGTTTTTTAAGAGTCATTAGCTACAATCGAAAACTGAGTATGAGACTACAATAACTTATGGAAGAGTAATGAGTAAAGACAGCAAAATTCCATTTGGAAAAACATAATTCTACAGTGCTGAACATAGTATAAAAAAGACAGTACATGCCAAAGCTGACCATCCATAGCAGAACCAGATTACTAGAAACAGAATGTACTGACTGCTTGACAACAAATTTAGAGATTCTTGCAATCTGAAATAAAAATCTAATCCAATAGTATTACAGGCTTCACACTGTTTTTTAAGAGATTAAAATAAAATAATTTTCCCTTTTCAGGGCTAGGATGATGTCCCACAATTACCTCCTTGTGCGTGGCGCCCAGTTCCTCTTCCAGCAAGCTGCACCTTTGCAGTGCTACACGTAATTGCTCTCGCACCTGAAAAGAGTTGAGTTTTTATATGCATACGCACACTTTCCATATAGTTATCCTGATATTGATGAAAGGCATATAATAAAGTACTTTCAATGTCTTTCATTGCTAGTACTGTCAAGAAAATGTCCTTGTTAATGGCTTTAAATATTAAGGCCGGGAAACTCTTGTTCCTAAATAAATGAACACTATCCAGTTCTTAATGGGCAGTCAATATTCAGAAATAATCAATTGAAGACTCACATTCCAGTTAGTGTTTGTTGATTATGCAGAACATTGCCTTTTAATACAGAAAGTCTGTTTACAAGAACTCAAAAACTTAGCAAACCTTAAAGGTAAACAAACACATGCAAAGTCTGCCATGAACCCAGCAAGTGTAAGAACCCAGAACCACTAGTGTAGCTCATGTACCTCTTTGTCCAGGGTCTTGTGGTGGTCAAATAAGAATGTCAGTGCTTTTAGCACTTCCATCTCTGTGGACACACCGGCAGGACACCGCGCCTGCCGCTTCATCACAGTCGTTTCGAGAGAGCGTTCATGCCTGGAGACAAGGAACTCCAGATGTTCCAGGAACAGCTGAAACCAGGCCAAAGGGGGCGTGTAAAGAGCACCTTCAATTTCACATTCAAATCCTTCATAATCTCATGGTCAAACAAGTTCAAATTCCTACAATTCAGTAGAGTTAGGTAAATTTCCCTCAATTGTATTCGAATGTCATGAATTTCCATCACTAATTTCTTTTATTAACAAGAAGGTCTCATTTTGTAGTCTAGGCTGGCTTGAGGACTTACTAGCTAGCCCAGGCTGACCTCTAACTCAAGACATTCCTGGCTCAGAACGTTGGGATTGAAGGCATATGCCACCATGCTTTGCCTTCTATCACAAATTTTAAGCAACATTTAATACTGAACACACTCTACAGAAGGAAAAAGCACAAAACACTTAAACCAGAGCTCCACTGACCCTCATGTTGTTCCTTTCTGCTTTGAGTTCAGCAATTTCTTTTTCCTTCTCAAGCAGCTGTTCCCTGCAAATGTTGAGCTCTTTTGCAAGCGTTGAAAACTCCTGCAAAGCAGCAAAGTAAAGGAATAAATCAACACATACATGAATAAATTAAAAAAAAAAAAAAACCTCTTAGGCAAGACTTCCATTGGCCTCATAGTCCACACACACAGGCAACCCAATCTCAAGATACATGGCAAAGGATTCCCATTCTCCTCCAGAGAAATGGAGATCAACCATTTGCTGTAAGGTGACATAGGTATTCCCAATGGAATGAGAGTCTAACCCAGGCCATCTGACTTCCCTCCACCCTGGCACTGCTGAAAGCACAGCAGGGGATAATGAGTGTCCAGGTCCACCTCTTTAGACTTCAGGAAATAAAAGCATTTTCCTCAATTGGCATCCCAAAATGAAGCATCTGAAGACATTTGTAAGTCAGTCACAGATCTGAGACCTAGAGCCCTTAGAGAGATCAAGGAAAAAAGGCCTAGAAGGTCACTATCCAATTCTAGTCCCCCCTCTATTCTGATTTTCCCTTAGTCCCTATAGTCTCCCTGAATCATTGGAGCAAAGTCAACTATGAAGAATGGGCTTACTGCTAGGACTAGGAAGCCTTTTGTATTCTCTGTAAAGGCATTCTCAAAACACTATGCATGCAGCAGTGTAGGAGATCTTGCAAAAGGCAGAGAGAAGCTGCAGGAGTCCTGCAGCACTGTTCTGTGCTAAACCTTGTGTTATGACACCGGTTCACAGATACCACAAATGAACTGAATTGAGCAATGTGAATTTGGAGCAAAGCAACTCTGAAATAAGTAAAATCATCTGCCAGTGTTTCTGGCTTTAGGTGCTTTTCCTTTAAAAGACAAGAATAAAGATCTACCAGATAAATAATCAGTCCTTCAAAAGAACATGTGCTTGAGCTAGATAATTCTAGAAAGCTAGTTTAACACAGGCGGTGCTCTTACAGGGCACTGGTAGCAATTGTTTGCAGCTCACAGTCAATCTCATCACAGAAAGAACAGGCCCATGAAGTCTGCTTTAACCAGACCACGACTCATGTGCCTATGTGAGCCACAGTGAGATTGGGCAAGTAAAGTGAGAGAGAAATAGAGATGACACTGCCACAGAAAGCACTGGAAAAGAGCAAAATTTCTTTTAAACTAGCTTTTCTTCTCCAAAAACTCATGACTGTGGGTGAGCCAAACTTAGCCTGGCAGGAACTTTGCAGCCTGCTCCCCAGGGAGACCTGAAATGATGAAAACCACTCTTCAAAGCTTCTGGAAATGGCTCAAAGGATAACAGTAAATGAGGAAATTATCTATTCAAGAAATATCAGGAATAAGGCCAGGAGTCCATGGTATTTGAATTAGGACTTCTATTTGCCTCCCCCACCCAGCTCAGCATAGCGGACTCCTCCAGCCAAAAACACAGGGCCCTTCACCAGGCCAAAACCATGGTGGCTCCCCAGATAACAACATAGAGATTCTTCTCCCCAGGTCAGCAGAGCCTTCTCTTTCCCAGCTAGCAACACATGATTCTCATATCCAGACCAACTGAAGGCCCCTTCTTCCCCCAGGCCAGCAAGGTAAGGTCCTTTCCCCAGGCCAACAACACAGGCTCTGCTCCCTGGACCTGCCATGCAGGATTGTCTCCTCACACTCAAATGCCCCCTCACCAAGGCCACTAACATAGGGTCTGCTTGCTCCTGCCTGCCAACCAGGTAAAAATCATCCAAATGTGTCTTAAAACCTGACAGAGTTCCAGCCAGTGTTGAGACATCTTCATAGGCCCAAAGCCAACCTTCAGGAATGGGACTTGTGGATGCGAAGCAGTAGGGGAAAGGGTATTGGCCAGCCGGCCATCTAGACTTCTGTCATGTTCTCTACTAAGTGTGAGCTCTTCCCTGTGGTACAGATTTCTCCTGTAGATGCCAACACGGCCCTGATCGAGGTACTAACTGGCATTGGCCATGGTGATAAGCAAGAGCTCACTGTCAGGTCACCTAATAAGTACCATTCCTGACAGAGTGTGCCCTCTCTCTAATGGAATCTTTTATCAGAAAGATTCTGGGGCAGGTAGAAGAAAAGTAGACTCTAGTTACTCTAAGTCAAAAATCAAATCAATTCTATTCACACACCTATCACATCAATAGGTGGGCCTGGCTCTAGGCCTGCCTGAATTGAGGGCCTTGAATTTTTCTCATTTTGTCTCTCTTGCTGCAATCTGGCTCACCTTTGGTGACTTACTGCCAATGCTCCGTCTTTGACCATGTCCACAACAGACTGTATCATTCTAGCTAAGGTCTGTTTCATTTACTAGATTCCAAGTTGTTTTTTTGTCATACCTGCTTCATTTTACCGCCAGTCCCTGTTACTATGGATGTTAATCTGTCTCTAAGTATCATGCTCACTTATTTTGGCAGTTTTGGCAGATTCTCCACCCATTTGTGATCGAGTGAAATAGGCACCTGTTTGTGAGTAGTCATCTCTGTAAGCGTGTCTTAGTATTATCTATTTTTAAGCACTGTGGAATCTAGTTTCATGCTCATCTAGATGAGGAGGCTTTATGTTGTTAGCAGTCTCCCTCTCCCAGTCACTTCCAGCTACTATAAAAAAAAAAAAACTACCATAGTCATAGGCTGGGTATTAATAAACAACAGATAATTATTTCTGACAGTTCTAGAGGCTGCAAGTCTAAAATCACATAGGATACAATGTTAACTTAGGATACAATCTTAAATTAGGATATATAACATATGATATAATCTTAACAGATAAACAGACAAATTCTGTATCTTTCTCTCTCTTTTTTGAGATAAGGTTTCATTATACAGTTCTGGCTGGCCATGAACTCACACTGTAGTCCAGGCTGGCTTCAAACTCCAGCAGTCCTCCTGTATCAGCCTCCTGAGTGCTGGGATTACAGGCATATACCACCTTGTCTGACTCTCATTTCTAATTGTAGTAACAAAACAAGACTGCTGTGGGCTGGGGTAATCAGAGCATGCTTACTTAGTATGTTCAAGGCCCCGTGTTTAACGTCCAGCAATCTCATCTCTAAAGAAGGCCATCATGCTTGAAATTACTAACAAGAATCATAAAAGTTCAAAACTATTTTTGGGAGGGACCCAAAAATCAAACTTAAGACCATGTTTTTTACCAGGCATCATTTAAAATTTCAGGTTAAAACAATCATTTGTTAAAATAGAAAAGAAAAAAGAAGAGGTAAGGCACTATACTTATGCTCCACCCACAAAAAGAGATTCTTGCACCAAGACTCCCCTACATTGGCCCCGCTCTGCCCAGAGCGTTCTAGGCTCATTGAACCAGGCCTTCATTCTGCCTCTGTTCTCTTGTGAGAGGAAACCCAAGGCTAGGACCCACTGCCTTGTCTCAGACCTTTCTACAAGTGCCAAGAAGTCACCTCGCTCTGCCAGGTAAAACTAAAGTGTAAAAGTAACCATCCCATACCAGTCTTTGTCTGGTCCATATTTGCTGTCCTTAGACTCATTGCTAGGCTAATTTTCATAGCCAGCCCAGAGCAAGTCTCCTCTAAGTCACCAGGCTACATGCTGAGGAGAGATGACTAGTGAACAAGAGGAGGCCACAGTGTCTGAGTCTAAGTCAACAGACTGCTTCCTTTGCTGAGAAATTCTTACTGCCAAAACCAAAATATCCAAACCACACTGAAGTCCACTGAACAGAGGTAAGCTCTGAGGCCGGCTGCTGGTGAAAGCGCGGCATCTCACTTTGGGCGGGCACAGATCAGGGCCATTCCAAACAGCACTACTGTGTGGATCACTACCTCACTTACAAGAGAGCAAGCCATGGTTCCACTGGGCCAAGGAACAGCTCCCAGGCCAGGAACTAATCAGCAACAGAGTGAGGATCTGTACCTGTGTCCTTACTAAATTACACTTCTGCTAAGCCACATAGAGAAGCTCACACACAGCTGCTGAGGACAATCACCACTTGGCACCTGCAGCAGCACTGCCCCACAAGTGTACCACCAGGAAGGCAGGAAGCATGAAGTGGGCATGGCACAGGGCCAGAGGCAGCAGGCATTAGGGGGAGCTTCTAGACTGACAGAAAGAAAACTCCGCAATCCCCACTGCTTCCAGGGCACCGCTTTTACTTCCAAGGTTTCCTCTGAGAGGGAGACTGTCAGCAGATCAGAACATCTTGAAAAATCTAGGCTCAAGGGAGAAATGGTCCTGGTTTTGGAATCAAAACAGACTTAACTTATACCTGCTCTGCACATCATGTGATCTAAATTTCAGTTTCCACATCTGTAATTGGGGGCAAGCACAGCAACTGGTTTCTCACGGGGATGTGCTTGTGGACTAAATATAGCAAAAAAATGGCCAAGTACTGAGTTTGGCACCCGGCAGAGAGCAGTGCTTACTAAGTTCTAGCCTTCCATATCAGAGAAAACTGTTTTTCCTCAATCTAAAGCCTATGGCTCTGCTTCAATCATTCCCTCCTTTCAAATCCTAAATTTTCCATCTATTATACACACACATGCAATGGTTAGAGGCAAAAGCTCTGAGTATAGCAAGCACTGACATCTGTCCCCATGTTCCATGGATGGCTGATTGCCAAGAGAACAGTAACTTGTGATGTGGCAGGTCAGTTTAAACATTTCCAATGAAACATCAGTTATTCATTACAATATATTGACAACATTACACTTATGTGTGACATACTATACTCTTCCATGCATTAGGAAGATACAAAGGTATGCTCAGTTACTGGAAAATTTGCCTTTCTATGATAGTTCCTTAAGTTGCTAGGCTGACAAGACGCATGCATAGAAATAGACACCAGATTTATGACACGATTTAAAGCTAAAAATTCAAGGATCTACTCAGGCAAATATATTACAATACAAAGGACAAGACAGAAATAAGGGAGACAGGATTTAGAGGAAATATAACTGGAAATCAAATAATCTTTTATCACAAATTTAAATCTAAGTTATCCAAGATTTACTAGAAAACACTATAAATTACTACTCAAAGAGCACATTCTGTTTGAACACATGCAATTTAAAGCATGACACTA